AAAAGGGGAAGGAGCTCCCATCTTATCAGGATCCTCCTTTGTGCCTGCCGGATAAGCACAACCGTCGCTGTTCTCCTCACAGAAGATTATAGAAGATTAACCTGTCATTCAAAATTCTTACAAAAGCAGCTTCCCTCTCCTTCTTTTACATGGTGTTCAAAAGTATGCCATGTGACGTGAGTAAAAAGAGGAATAGCGTCGTCGCCACAGCGCATGCTCCCAACGCAAACCAGGTTTTGCGCTTTGCGTGCGCAATTTTAGCGTGCGCTATTTCTCGGAAATAGCATGCGTACGCAAAGGGTCTTTGCTAGGGATGGGCGAATATTCGGTTATTACGAATAGCCAATCGAATTCCGTTCTATTCGGCATTCGCTTCGAATCAAATTATTCGACAATATCGAATTATTCGAAATTATAGAATTATTCGACCTTTCTAACTACAGTCATACCCGACTATATCGAACCCGTTCCCATCGAATTATCTCTTATATCGAACAATTGTTGTGCACAGTAATGTTACAGTGATAATATATAGCAAAAACTATGGTTGCATCGAACAAAAATAGCAGCCGCTACCGATATATTGAACTGCCAAGACCGCCGTTTTGCTCTGCAAGCTGGCTTTCCCCATGCGCGCGGCCGCATTGGGGGAAAGCCAGCTTGCAGAACACGCTGGCTTTTTTTTTTTTTTTTTTTTTTTCCGGCGGCCGCGTCGATTGCCCGGAAGAAAAGAAAATACATCTTTTGCGGAGGGAGGTGTGCTCCGTGCTCCCTCTCCCCGCTTCGTCGGCAAAAGAGAATATTATTTTTTCTTCCAAATTGACAAAACCGCACAGAAAAAAAAAAAAAAAAAGCCAGCTTGTTTTGCTAGTTGGCTTCCCCCAACGCCACCACTTGTTGTAGGGGAAAGCCAACTTGCAGAGCAAAACGGCGCTCTGCAGGAGAAGGTGCTCCCATTGGACGTGCTCCGTGCTCTCGGCAAAGTTCAGCGCTAATGCGCGGGCAGCGGCCTCAGCATTTTGGAGTCCGTCGATAGCGCGGAAAAATATCGTTCTCGCGGATGCAATGAAGAGAAAGCAGCAGAAGATGTAAGACGACTTCTCTGTGTAGTATTTCAGCAGAAAGCGAATTTTTGAGAGTCAAATTTATTAAGCGTTTTATATCGAATTACCCCCTATATCGAACTGGTAGACGTTTTCTTGCGAGGTCGATATAAACGGGTTCCACTTACTCTGGCTTGGATTTACGGCCAGGTGGCACAAGCTTCCGACCGTTTCAACCATTTCGTGCTACCGAACTCGATACACTTGAAGTTAACAAGTACAGAATACCTATACCAAATAAGGGCAAATATAAAACTATAGTTTAAGCGTATCTTGTGGTATTTTTTGCTTGTACTATTCGAACTATTCGATTCGAAATTATTCGACCAAAATCACTATTCGCTTCGAATTCGATTCCGACCCAAAATCCTCTATTCGCCCCCATGCCTAGTCTTTGCGCTTCTCAAAGGAGGATTCGTCATTGAGATCAGTGGGATTCGTGGTGAGAAGTTGGCTAAAGCTAGGGTAAAGCCAAGACGAGCAGAATTAAAAATATGGCGGCTTCCAGGATTATGTCGGCAGCGGCGTCGCGAGTGCGACGTCGGCGGCATTCCCGCGACTGCGGTTTTCAATACGGGACGACATTGTACTCGGTTTGGCAACGATCACCGGCAACTTGATGTTTGTGACGCGCGACCATTTCTCGGCGAAGGTACGATGTGCGAAGGTCAGTACACGAGACGTCTCGGTATTGATGTCGCTGGCCTGTAATAAGGCGGAGCCTCCGGGGCAATAACGGGGGCGCGCGTTAACCCACCCGCCGCGCTGCGCTTTACGCCGCTTCGCGGCGACAGTCTGAGGCGGCTCATTACAAAAAATGTGAACCCACATGTGTGTGTGTATTGGCCCACACGTAAACGCCGCTTCGCGGCGCCCAACTATTCGCTAAAGTATTATTCGGTGAACCGCCCCCTCAGGAGGCTCCGCCTTATTACAGGCCAGCGACATCACGTCTCTTGCCGAGGCGATCGGCGGACACGACCGCTCAACCGCTCGCGTCGCATTGTCATGTTTAAACCAATCTAAAATAACACTCTGCAACACAAAAAAAACTTTTTTTCTAAAGTTACAGCATTTCGTGTGTGAAATAAAAATTGTGACTGTATCTCGGTGGCATCGCAAGTGCGGGATGCTTGGGCTTTTGCGTCGCGACAGGGAAACGCTATTCTAAAAGTCTCTCGCGTCGCGTGCGCTAATACAAGCGCTAAATTTAGCGCTAGCGTGCGCTAAAATCGCGTAAGTTATTTTAAAACTCCCTCATATCTCAGCTTTGTTCGGCTGACGGTATTGTCATCCCATACGAAAAATTCGTCATCGATTTGAATTTTATCGTCGAAAAGTTTAACTTGGAAACCGTTGTTTGTTTGTGCCCGTGCTTTCCGTTGGTGCCTTTTAATTTGTTGCAGTTCTCAAATACCCGCATTTTTTCTTTGTAGTCCCGAAAGTTCATTATTATAGGTCGGGGTTTCTTTTTCACATTTTTTTCCTTAGCCTATTAATTCGCTCCACTGTCTCTATTTTTAAACCGAGGCGGGCACCTCTCAACTCCTTCACCATCTTTCGAGTCACGTGCGCTGTGACGTGGATGGGGGATGCGCGGGGTTCCGCTGAAGTTCTCTCTCTAGAGTCTAGAGCCATCAGTGAGCAGCGAGAACTCACCCGTTCGCGACCACGTGCTTGAGCAACGGGATCAACATGGGGAGAGGAGGAAAGTCTCGTGGCCATCCCCGTCCTGCTCTGCCCCCATCCCCCTTCGGGTTCTGGCGGCTGTTCGCGGCATAGAGTTATTATAATGTACGCTAGAGGTTCAACTGGCGCTAGTGTCTATGCGACTTCCGTGACGCAAATTGAAGCAGACAGCAACCAATCTACTTTTCCAGTCTTCCCGTGTATTCCTATGGGAAAGCGCGCGTGCATTTTGTCTCTTCGCCGAAAAATAACACGGAACACTTTGGTTATTTGGGTCGTACCGAATAGTATGTACCTTGATTAACACTGTAAAAGTGTAATTGCTTTAGTTAGCGCATTTTTCTTCATCAGTGACCGATGTTTAACTTCGCTACATTTCAGTCCCAAACGTGTGTTCCGCAGCAGGTGTGTGAAAACAAGCGACGATTCGAAGCAAAATTACAATCGAAAGGAATGTAGAGTGTGTTCAAGGCTCGCCAGCAATCCGGTGACGCTTATATATTGATAATATGCCAGTCCTGTCACTATATAAAAATGACCCCGTCGTGCATGAGCGGATAAAAACGTTCAAAACGTAGAGAATAAAGTCCGTGGACTATAAAAGTTGTCTCTTCGTATTGTTTTCTCTGCCGGGCAGCTTTTATCGGGCAATTGTTCTCAAAGATTTCGAGCGTGCGAGTGATATTTTGAACGTAGAACAAGCAGCTTCGCTCAGAGCAGAAAGAATAAAACGGTACTTACTTATTTAAAATAGGAATAGATTACGTGGCCTTCAATTAATTTTCATCGTATACATGCATGTGTAGTTACTGATCCGGTATTACTGCGTAGTTCTTGCCGTCTTTCTTAATTTCCAGATGTTCTTCGTTCGTTTGGCACGTATATCCCCCACGCTGAAAAGCGCCGACGTCGTGTTCGCGCTAACAGTGTCCGACAGTGCACATAAATACACGTACGAAGCTGTTTTAGCACCATTTTTAATGCGATGAATTTGAAAAAAAAAAAAAAAACACCGTAACTGACCAATTATTTCGTCGGCCTGACTGAGAAATGTTCCAAGCTACCTAGTACGTACGAATTATTCGGGATATTTGCTCTTACGATCAAGCGCAGAGAGAAAATGCACTCGCTTTTTCCCATAGAAATGCATTACCGGAAGTCAATTTCAGACTGGTTGCTGTCTGCTTCAATTTGCGTCAGCACACTAGCGCCACTTGAACCTCTAGCGTACATTATAATAACTCTATGGTTCGCGGTAGCAGGTAGAGCCGACGGTTTTGTTGACCTCAGACAGATGGCGCCACTAAAACTCCGTACATTAAAAGTTTTGTCGATGATGCCAGGTTTTTGACTCTTTATATTTATGTTGGAACGACAAGATTTATAGAAAAATTACCTTTTATCGAGCAGGTATTTGCACAACTTCCTATCTTTTTACAAGTCCCCCATTGATATCATGTCGCGTAGTCCTCATGCCCGCCGCTCGCGGCTGCAGGTCGGGAACTATTCAAATTTTTGCCTCGCGATTACGCAGCGGAATAGCAACGTTTTAAAAAAATTAGGTCATTGCGAAAATGAAATTTATATTATTATCGTGCTCGCTCGTCGCTCCGCTCAACTGCAGGGGTATGCGACAACCTTCCAGCTATGGTTTGGTTCCTGTGGCTTGCAAACATCCTTTGTGGTCCACTGTATGTGAAAAGGAAGAAAAGTTTCGCCTTCATGCCCAATTGCCAACTCAAGGTTATGCGGCACATTGACGTGAAACATATTTAATTGTTTAATTAGTATTGAGCTGTCTCAATGTTGTTGCCATTTGTTTAGTCAACAGTGCATGGCTAATGCTACCGTCCAAAATATTTATTTCACCTCGAGCCGCCACCATCAAAAAGGCAGGGCTCACACTTTATTACTCTGAACCGTTTTCCAACCAAACCAGTAACCACCACACGAGATTACAGTTTTGTTGTCGTTCGGGTTTTAAATGTCTAATTTGTTATGGTTTTGTTATGTTAGGTCGAAATTAAGAGTCTTGATCTGGTTTGGTTAACTCAAGCAAGGATAAAATATTTCTGGATCTCTTATACAACTTCTTCGAGCATGAATCAGCAATTTCATTGAGCACTTTAGATCATGCTAATGACAGTCTTATGGCACCACAGCGCAGAAAGTTGCTGCAGCTGACCAAAAAGAAAGCACAACACCAGATTGAAATAAACATCAGTATTGAACAATTTATTTAGCAACTTCTTTGAAGTCTATATATGTACAGGATCCATCCTTCCGTGGCATACACTTGGTGCTAGCTGGCACGCAAGATCTCATGATTCATATTTTTAGTCTGGGGCTGAAAAAGAGAGAAAGACCTATTGACTATTTGCACTCGTCCATACTTGAGAGTAACTGTGCAATCCAAAGTAACAAATGTTCAGTTTTACAGCATTAAAAGGCTTCTAAGTCTTGCCTTAGTATGTCATAAGCATTTCCCTACAGTCAACTCTCAATAGTTTGAAGATTCCGAGGACGACAAAACGCTTTGAATTCTTTGAATTAAAGAAAACCCGCTCAAACTGTTTGTTTTTGATTTAGTACTCACCAAGAGCAGTTGATTTTTGCTTGCCTCCACTACGGAGACGTGCAGCATGAACTATGCTCTGCTAATCGCACACCTTTTTTAGCGCGCCTTCGACAGTCGTTTTGGCCGAAAAGAAACCCACTAAACTGTACCGCATGGTGCCACAAGCAGTTTTCGTGTCAGCGAAAACTGCTTGTGGAACCATCAGTATATCAAATTATTGATATATCTAACTATTTTACGATCCACTACGAATTCAATATATCCAGCTCGACAGTATCATATCACACAATGCAATTGCTTGGGAGACATGTATGTGAAATGTTGCACAGACCTCCATTATCACCATACTCCTTTCTCGACTTGAATAAAGACAGGGTGACAACACAGCGGCGCTATTGCTTTCTGCCCGTGATCACGTGGGTCTTTATGTACAAAAGCCACCGGATTACCGAAAAGGGGCGCTAACAGCTACCACCGTATAAAGTCAATAAATTTCTGAAATTCAATACCAGCACTTGAATACCTAACCGAGCGTCGCCTCAACCTCTGCTCGTCTCAGTCAAGCGCACTCATGAAGGCTGGTTCACACACTTGCAACTGCTTACAACCGAGTGCGTTAAAACTCCTTGTAATCTCTTTACACGCTAGTGCCATCTACTGGGTAGCCGTGGAACACTCACAATTTCCGTGTATTCCCTATTTATTTTGCGCGCCATTATTTTTTAGTTGGCTCGAAAAGCTTTTGACACTGTTGTAAACGGACATTTCTCATAGTATGTATGTTTCATCTCGCAAATACTGCAAAACTTCCCCTCTAGTGAAATACAGTTCAAGGGCCACCTCATGGATGGAGCCAGAGTGCCAGAGTGCGCTCCCGTCACAAGGGCTGGTTCTTGCACGTGCGGCTGCTTACAACCAAGTTCTTGTGATCTCGTACCACAAGATCACGCTGGCGCCGTTTACGTGGCGACCCTGGAACTGCATTTCACCGGAGCGAAGGTTTTGCGGTATTTGCGAGATCCAATGTATGCACTATCTACGAGAAATGGTTGTTTCTAAGACATTGTCAAAAGTTTTCCGAGCTAACAAAAGAAGCAATGATGTGCAAAAACAAATAAAGAAATATGTGAAAATGCCAAGTGTTCCACTGGTATCCAATAGATGGCGCCAGTGACTTCTCTTGTCATATCAGATTTTAAAAGGTCTTAAAATGGCGGTTGCAAGTGTGTGAACCAGCCTGAAGAGATCACAAGAACCCGGATCGTAAGCAAATGCAGTATTGAACCAGGGGCAGATTTATGGGTCAGGCTTGAGGGGGGGAGTCTGCTGAGATGTGGCGTTACAGCCAAAATGTTGCCCAGATCAATTTTGTTCACCCAAAATTTATGTCACCAAAAACTAAACTTATGCCTAGTGTATGTCAATTTTTTCATTAAAAGAAAGTTGACCTTGGGGAGTTTAGGGAGGCCGATCACACACCTGCCCCCCCACCCCACTTCCCTTCTCTAAACTCGCCCCTGGTATGAACCAGTGTTTCGAGTCAACCATTAGTTTCCCGGTCATCGAGCATGAGCACGAGAACCCTCCTGACCATGATGAAGATGTGCGACGGCAGCATCTCGGCCAGCAGGTCGTCCAGGGTGGCGGCCGCAGAGGTGCCGGGGCTCAGCACGAGGTGCATACGTGGCAGGGGCACGTAGCCCGAGATGAGCGGGTACAGGTTGTACGTCAGCGTCTGGCACTCCCGAGGCAGGATCCGGAAGTGTAACTGGACGAGAAAGGGTGAAAACCTCGACTTTCGCTGCTCCGGTTCTGTGTTCTCAGAAGTCGTTCTAGAGCTGTGTCGAAAGACGGCTTACACTTTTGCTTCTAATTTTTTTAATTGTATTTTGTGAGTTTTACAGAGTTTTGACTCGACATCTGAGGCTGGTCGGTGCTCTGATTCTGCGAGCTTAGTCCGTTTCGAGCATATTCTGGGACTCTTTCTACGGTTGGCGACAGGCTAAGAATTAGGCAGAAGCTCTGCCTCCAGACCTTGGCTCCGTGTACAATGAAGTAAAGGCAGAAAGCTTATGGGGGAAGCAGAGCATTTAATAAATTCTCTCTTAGTACATTTACTGAATTAGAGTTTACTGGTGACATAAAAGCAGATGAGACCTTTAGTCTCTAGGATTTTGCAGGTTTAGAAGCTCTAGAGTATCTCAAAATGTGTTAATTGACAAGACCCTACGTGAGTGCTTTCTTGCAGCAAGGATTTAGAGCAGGGGTGGCCAAGCTGCGGCTCTTCGCGTGTTAAAGTGCGGCTCGCGGCTCCCTCCCCACCCCCCGTCCCGGCCACACGAGCACTTCCCCAAAAAGAGAAGTGGAACATGTATTAAATCGAAAGACAGGTTGCGGTTTGGTAGTCTTGTGCCACCGCTACCTTACGTACAGTTGAACTCATTTTTACTCTCATAGATTAATAGTAGTTTGAGTCTTGTTTACTGCTGAGAACAAGTTTGTTCTTTATGCATTAACGAAAGTTTGAGGCAGTGATCTGCAACATTTTTTCGGCACATGGGCCAGTTAGGAAACCAGAAGTACGAAAGGTGGAGCAGCGCATTCCTCCAACAAGTCGGGCACATAAGTTTCTCACAAGCATCGGCGTGGCCATTGCTGTTTACATTCGGTCAAATAATAATAAAGATAGCAACGAGATTTTTTTTGTTTGTTTTGGTAGCTGAAAACCGCGTTTTGCTAGCCCATCTGTTGGCAACTACGTAGGCACATGACATTTCACGTCACGACACCGCCGGCTGCCCGCTGCCATTTCGCTGTTTGCCGCAAACACGCCGAGATCGCCCACGCCTTGTTTACTTCCTTTTGTTTGGCCTGTCAGAAAAATGACGCCTACCGTTAAAAAGCTTAAGTTTGTGACGCTTTACGAGGAGTCTGCAATCTACGCAGAAGCTGCGAAAGGTAGATAGAAGTCGGATATTGCAGAGGAGTTCAGTTTACCGTGCAGCTCACTTTCTACGATTCTGAAATCCAAGGACAGCATTAAATTTTGCTTCTGAAAAGCAATGGGTGTGCTTATTTGTCCATTTTCGCAGCAGCAAAATTCTCGCGAGAACGAAAAAAATTGCTTTCACAGACAATTTCGTTATTGCGGGGTTCGACTGTATTCCCATAAAGTTTCATAGCTATTTTTTTATACATTATTTTCAGTCCATTGATGCTAAAAAAAAGGTAGAGGTCCGAATATTTCAAATGCGTTTTTCTCCGTTCACTTTCTGGCATAAATTTCACTTAATAAATCTACAGCTTCAGTATGAAACTATTGGGAAACTTAATTTTTGTGGCTTATATACCAAACTTCTATGGAGCTGGCAAAAGGTATTCCAATATAGATTGCACCAGATATATATGTGGTAATCAACACCATCTCTCAACCATAGATTCATTGAGCAGATTCCACGCAAAGTTATGCTTTACTTCGTCCTGGGGTATAGTACCTCATAAAATTGGTTCCCAGGGCTGAAACTTTGCATGCCCTCCTTCTACATGGCTACAAACACCACCTGCAAATATCATGCCAATTGAGCGAGCAGTTCAAAAGTTGACATTCCCAGATATTGCCCCCCCCCCCCCCCCCCCAAAAAAAAAAAAAAAAAAAACTAGCTGGAGATTTAGAAGTCGACTTGCCAGCAATCGAAAAAGCCCTATGCAAAAAACAAAAAAAATTACCAAGGCAGCACAAAAAAAAAAAGAGAAGAAAAGTTAGAGTAAGCTTGGGTTTATGCGACTTAAATACTTCTTCAGTCATACTTTGCGAGCTTTGCCCTCGACGAAGCCGCTCGGCATGCTTGTGCGTTTCACAAATGCCGAGAACAATGCCAATGACCGATCGTCTGCAGTCAAACAAATGGGGAATGCGGCAGAACACGGCTTGGCGGAACCCGACGCAACGTCTGCCCAGGAAGAAGGAAGCGTGACACACCAGCTTGTTGCCGGAGTACATGAAGGCGTCGCTTGAGTCCATGACGAGCTCGATGTCCTGCACAAGGAGCGTGCGGTTGTGCACCAGGTAGCTGACCGTGAGTGGGGTGCGCACCGAGCCGTGGGCCGGCGCCTGTAGCTCCAGCAGCAGGGGACAGCCCTGCACCTCCACGCACGGCAGGGTTACTGCTTGGCTCGCCACTGTTGACCACTGCTCCCTGGTCGGCAGACAACGCGACAACTCGGTCAGTTGCTTTTTCTTAAAGGGGCCCTGCAAGAACTTTTTTACTGGTTTTTAATTTGCACCGAACATGAGCGCACTGAACGTAGTAACTTAATGAGACTTTTATTTTCTCGAATTTCGATTTATTTTAAAAGTTATAGGCAAAATAAAATTACAAAAACAAGCAAAAAATAACCTCCTTCATGACGTCCTTGGTTGTTTGAGTGGCCATGAACTAGAGGAGGGGTAGTGAGCTCGGCGAGCGCTCACGGCTGCCGCACTCCGTGTCGACGGCGCGAGAGGGTGCCACTAAAGCATGTTCTGGATAGGCTGTATGCAGCGGGTAGCCAGAGCGGCTCTCATTGCATTTGCTGCGCGATTAAACACTAATTCAGCATGACACTTAATTGGCCACAAACGACAGCAAACACGGGGTAAAGATCAGTTCAGAATGGGAGCCCACTTCATATTGCCATACTGCGAAACGGCCAAACCGCAAGAAAAAGCTGCTCGCCGAAGGCCTTTGGAACGCTCGGAGCCAGTCGGATCCTCCAGTCAATACGACCGCAGCGCCACCGCATACTTCCGGGACCTTTCCGTGTTGGCACCTGATCCCACTATATTCCTTTCTAGTATGTGCCGCCTTTTCCACCGCTTGGTGGCGGGTATGTTGACGAGTCATTTCTTGTTTCTGTACTTTATAAACTGCATTCGTTTCTATTTTGATCTAAAATACTGAACAAAAACTACTTTTATAAATAATTGAAACGGTTCGCGCCCCTTATATTTTGTATTTCGACTAAAAAGAAGCTTTTAGCGGCTCTGACCAGTAGTAAGCCCAGGACCAAAGACGTCACATATCGCGCGCTTTCGGCACCGCGGGTCGCCCCCGTCGGTGGAGGAGGTTTCCGCGTCCTCCGGTTAAAATATGACGCACTGATATTTAGTGACTCTCTTCGTGCCCGCTGACTTTCCCGAACCTGAAGAGACGTGGAAACCGCAAAAAAGATAGACGCTTAAATATAATTGCAGGGCCCCTTTAACGCTTCGAGTGCCACGCCCGAGTACGCTTGGGGGCGTTCCCCTGTGGTTTCAGTTTCAGTCTGCTCCCTGCCTCTTCCAGCTGGGTTGTCACTTCTTTTTATGTGTTATGAAAACAATGTTTCACCTTGCGACGTCGCACTTTGATGGCACGTAAATTTTGTTGTTTAGGCAATTTCTATTTTGGTATGCATCTTCGTTGTTACAGAATGGTGAATCTATGTCATTCGATCTCGCACTTCATGGAAAACATTGAGAACTAGAATTGACTAATGAAATCTATGTTCTACGACCGTGAAAACGAGAAAGTTGCAGCTCCGAATAAACAAAGGATGAGTAAGGCCTCTCAAAAAAGTGACCTCAAGGTGTGAAGTCGAGGTGCCAGCGTATAGTACAGTGTCCCGAAAAGTATGACACGAGGAATACCATAGGTTGGAGGCATGCAGACATCAATCAACCTCCTAGTAAATTTTGTATTTGGGGACTGCTCTCAATTCTTTAGGAATGGGCTCATATATACTGGCAACCCTGATATGAGCTATCTTGTTCTTGTCAGTATTACTATTTCTAGAAACTATGTTTTTTTTCCTCGCTTTTGCTGCTCTTGTTGTGTGCTGGCTTTGTTTCTCAACTGCCGTTGTAATCGACTCCTATCATTACCCTAGAATGCGATATAATAGCATATATTAACTAAGAAAAATCAACTTGACCGACCTCTTCCATTGCAGGGTGTACTTCCCCAAAGAGGTTGCACAGTCCACTGGGCCAGGAGTCACCAAGCAGAACAAGTCCCTTGCTACCTCACCATTCTTCAACCTCACTGCAACGCAAATAAGTGTACACAGGTACATATACATCTCACCGCTAAATCTTGATTACAAAACCAAAACAAAAGCCCTGCTCTAAAAACAGAAGACAAATATGCATTAGATTATCTTCCAACCCAAGGTAGCCATTAAAAATTAAACAATACCTACACAAACACAACTCAGAAATTGTATTTCTAAATTTCATAGATGAGTCGTACACTAGAAAGAATATGGCAATTAATCCTGCATAGCAGAAACCAACTGTGTTGGACTGCTGCCCACATCACAAAGAGAACACCCATTTGAGGACTCGGCCCAAGATATCCAAACCCAGGCTGACACAAAACGCTGTCAACGACATTAAAAAGGGCAAGAACAGAAGCCAAGTTCACAAACAGCTTCTTAGGCTACAACTTAGCTAAGTTCGTAAGTTACATACATCGTAAGAAGTGAAGAAATCGGTATTCACGAACGCATTGTGAGAGGAAGAAAGCGCAGTTCTTGTACACGAGAGCGGGCTGTTGCTATGGCAAAAGCGGCTTCGGAAACATGAGCAACAAATCAGAGAGCTCGGAATAGCTCAGAGCTTGTGGATTCTGAATAACAACAAATGCAGGCACCCTTTCCATAAACACTTGTCTGGGGATCCTGTCCGTGCTGTGAAATGTCGACGCTACCACAATTAGAAGCCCTCAAAATGAACGCACCTTTCTATATTGGTGCAGCGAGGTCGCGAATGCATGGACAGCGTAGGCAAACAAAACAACTTGCGAAAGGCAAAAAAAATAAACAAAAAAACACAGAAGCAAGAAAAGAAAACATAAAGAGAAGCTTTTTTTTTTTTTTTTGCGCATTGCAGTTTGTTTTTTGAGTTGCGCGCCGCACGCAAAGAGATAAGAAGTTACGTCGATTTTTTGGGATAAAAGGTCCGTTCATTATGCGAGTAAAATACGGACGCAAAAATTTTACTTTGTGTAATGAAGTAAAATTTGCATTGATTTTTCGGAAAAAAAAGCGAGTTCATTCTGCGAGTAAATACGGTACAAGGGCCGCGCGGGCATATTCCATTCGGCAAGCCAGCCGGTCATGGGTAGACGGTCTTGGCCATAGACCATCAGAGCAACACAGCATCAGAGTGCATCGCTAGGCCTAGTGCTGAGCTAGTCCTTGGCGGTCGCTTGGTCGGTGGGATTGTTGCCATTGTAGCTTCTTCCGGATATCTGTGGATACAGTGTTGTTCTCCGTCGTGGTTGGTTTTGAGTACTTCTTTGTTTTTTTTCCTTGCTACTTGATGTCGGGGCACGCGTGAAGAGCATGTAGAAAAATAAAAGTCTGTTGGTCGTCGCGACGAGCAACTGAACTACGCTGTTGGCCATGCTGATTCGATCGTAAAAAAGTGTGTAAGACACCTCTCGAGCTGTCGTAGGATTCTGGCGTAACTCCCGCAAAACTTGGAGACATTTCACTTAGTGAATACGGATTTGTGCATATGTTTTGTCTTACACACTTTTTTGGCTTAAGATAGTTTCGTGAATCTGACCTCAGATGTGTTGCATCCAACAAAGTAACTCACCTCCTTCAATGAGAGACTTCAGCTCCTTATCAACAGCAGTGACATGACTGTTCTGGAAGGATACAAGAAAAACAAAAGCAGGGAGAAATTGTGAACACATGGGAGTGCCTGTCAAGTTTTTGAGTGCTCTCAACTTGCAAGAAAAATTATCTTAAGTTACTAAAATGCACCTGAGCATGCAGTGTTCTGCATTAAAACTCTATTGCATGTTATCTTTTTTCTGTCGTGCAATGCCTGAAACAGCTCCATCATGCTTAAGACACTTAGCTTATGCTCTTTGTCCGATAGATGGCATTATTGGGATATTTTGATTTTGTATAAGAATGTTAATGGAATTGTGGACTCACCTGTCTTACAGAACTCAGTCTGTTTTCAAGCCTCGTTGCATACTAGCCCACCAACATGCACTTTTCACTAATTTCCTCTTACAAGAATGCAACCTGCATTTAACAAGTGCAATTGTCCCCACCTTCAAATGTTTCATGACGTAACATTTCACCATAATTTCAAAGGTATATTACTTGCACAATAAGAATAAAAGAATAGCTATGCTTCCTTTAGAGGTATTTGTTTGTTCTGTACCAAACAGAAGGCCATGAGCTGTTAGTGGGAATGCCAAAATAAATATTACATTAGGTCCATCACCAGTAGATCAGTGCAATTTAGAAGCCTGATGCACCCTTTGAAACCAACAGAACCAAGTAAGACACTGTGTTTACTTCTCCTTTGGAAGTTCGCAACGTGACCTAAAAAGTGGGCATGCACACCACAGTCTCAATGCCAAGAACTGGCTCACCAGCTCGAGTGTCCCTGACAAAAGTTCCAGCGGAAGAGGACAACGCGACTCGAGGTCCACTTGAAGAATGAACTGCTCCTCTGCCCGAAGCACCTCAATTGGCTGAAACTGGAGTCAAGACAGAATGTCCTCATGAGGAATGACTCAGGAGCATTTGCAGAAACACAAGTTAGAGCACTGTAAGAACAATATGGTCCACATCTAAAAAAAAGATCTTGTAGTGGACAAGGCCACCAACAATGGGACTGACCTGCCTTGTCTACAGAACTTGTTCTAGGCACAAAAACACTCTACAAGCTGAAAGTCAGTCATACACATTACTTTCAAGTCCACAGATCTTTGACAAACCCTTCACTACACTCGGGGATGCTCAGTGATGCGATTGGCCTAAGCTGTTTTGGAGCACCTTTCGGAACAGCCAAAACACTGTTTTAGTGCAGCAAATGTAGCCTTTGGAGCAGCCAAAACAGTGTTCTGGAGCAGCAAAAGTGGCTTTCGCAGCAGCTAAAACAGTGTATCGGAGCAGCAAAAGTGGCGTTTGGAGCAGATATTCTTAGAAAAATAAAAATATTTGTTTAAAGTGCTGGACAAACAAGAACACTTTGCTCACCGTAATAAACAAATTATAGTCAATTTAGACCACCAATATGTGTCATGACATGACACATTTTGCAATGCTTCAGTTAAATGACACATATATATGTACCCCCTATAGGTAAATAAGAACCGAAATGCACACATTAAAATTTATTTGAAAATGACCAGCTTAGTAGTAAATATCACACCATTAGGTTGACTAGTTACATAATAAATAAAAGCAGCCTCTAACTATTGATACACGTGACCACTGCGGTGCAATGCAAAATTGTCGCGCGAGAGGAGATGGCTGTTCGATCCAAACCATGCCACTCCGCTTCGTCACCAACTGGTTCCCAAAGTTGTACACAAAATTTAACTGTCCAGCATTCGGGGAAAAAAAAAGTTTAGCCGCAGGTGTTTGCCAGACTGGCTGGAAAAACACAAGCTAATCACACACACACACACAAAAGAAAAAGAACCTGAGAGCATCGAGGCAAGACATCACGAGCCAGGGTCAAGAAGTTCTTGAAGAGCTTTGTGCAACGACTGAACTCGAGACAAACAAGTGCGCTGTGCGGGTTCAGCGTGCAGACATTGCCTTCTTTGCTTTAGCTCACTTTTCTTCACCAATTTTTTTTTCGCGGCAGATTTTTCATGTACCGGGGTCCCCCTCGCAAGAAAGCCTACCGAGAGAAACATAAGTAATCAGTACTTCGACACAGCAGTCTTTGAGCTAGACGGATTTTTGTAGCAGCGTTTTAAACAAGAACAGGAATGTTGACGAACATTAGGGCGGTCCTTACGTGTAAGTTCAGAAAGCGCCATATCTGCAGCGACGTGGGGACGGCAACACCCGACGTCGCGCGACCACGGTGACTGGCAAGCAGGGACCAAATAGTTTTCCCACGGCCGTTGCTTTCAGGAGCAAGTGCTTCAGCTCACAAAGTAACTCCCGCCACGCAAAAACATGGTTTTGTTTCACAGCACGATGGCATGGCTGGTACCCAGCACGCTAGCGTCGGGATGTCCGCAGATGCCCGCGTCTATCGTTGAAAAAGTTTAAAATAGGATGGAAGGCGACAAGAGCAACGAGAGCGCGAAACAAGAGACGGCGGTAAAAACCATGCAAGGAGCGGATGAACGGTTGATGCAGGGTACTTTGTGTCGGGCGGCCGCTTGCACCACCTAGCTCAGGTGTGCTCATTACAGTAATCAATATAGTTTCGGTTTTGAAAGGGGACCAAAATTGGTCTTTTGGCACAGGCTTGGTGCAGATTACTAATATTTTGGCAAAATGTAGCAGGATGTAGCAGGGTTAGCCTCTTGGCGCAGTTTGGCACAATTGGCGCAGCAATCACGTCACTGGATGCTCCAAACAGTTGATCTGTTACTCCCCACCCCTATACCTTAGAAAAAGAACTAGAAAGGTAAAAGCTGTTGCCCTAGCATGTACTCTTCTGTAAGCCGATGGTCAGTTCACATTAAAACTAAATTGACGATCAGAGCTGAAAAAAAAATTGTTTGCTCCAATAGCAGGACATCCCTTCAGCTAGGAATAAAAGCAGATTTTAGGGTTGTGCAAATATTTGAATATTCGAATAGTACTTTGAAATAATACGCCATTCAATATTCACTTCAAGATGAACTATGATGTTCAGTATTGATCGCGGCAGGTTTGCCTGGTTTAGTGCGCTTGTCACAGATCACCTGTTCACTGCAGGGAAACAATACCAGCAGAGCTCGTAAGTTCTGCGGGTATTTTATCCCTGAAGTGCCCAGGCGTTCAGTGAGAAGCACACTCAACGGGGCTATCCAGTCGCAATTAAACAAGTATATTCACAGTGAAAAGCTCACGAGGGGCGCTTCTGTTTTCCTCACTACAGGTAGTGCACGTGCTACCCACGCAGTTATGTCTTAGTTTCCATGGTGCATAGAAGCCCAGCATAGCACGTGATTGCACCAGCAGAGGAAGTTGAAATATCCTCACTCTGGGTTGGAAAAAATTCCACCAGGCAGCAATACTCGCTGCAAACAGGGAGTATTCACTGGCAGCTCATAACTATGTACGCGACTGCTGAGCGCATGCTGATCGAGCCTCCGCAGTTCATTTGCAACGTGCATTCCACACCCTATGTTGGGAGCGATGTCTTGACAAACTGTGTTCATCCTTCGTGTTTGTTTGTTTTTTCTGTCAAATATGAAACTGAAGAAAACATATTTGCATATACAGCAAGCGGATTTATGAATCTTTTTGATTAGAGTAGGTGCGACAAATGTGTCGTTTGCAAGCCAACAGTTCATAAATATAGTAATATTAAAATTAACAGAGTTTAGAAGCGGACAAGTGAAAGGTTGGGAACAACTTTCATTAGTTCAGCTGAATTTTCTTTTTAATGTGGTGCATGGTAGTGAAATGCTTGGGAAACTATTTGATATTCGATTCAAAAATATTCGGCCAAAACCACCATTTGCTTCGAACTCAATATGCACTCTTCGCACATGCCTAGCAATTTTACATTGCAGCCTCTATTCCAAAGTGGAAACATCTTAGGCAATGCCCTTTCTGTTGACTTTAGAGGTAACTATACACTATAAACAACTTAATTTTTGCAAGGACTTAATTTTCGTAAAATTTGCACTTGAAAACAATTGCAAAAAACTTTCAGCCTTTCCACTCTGATGAAGAAGGAAGACCAGCAGAGCTGTACAGTGGAAGGTAATGGCCGGCCGCAAGTTGGCAAGCCAGAGCGGAAAGGCTGCCGCCATCTATGAGCGACGGCGGCAACCTGATACGTGGCTTGCCGCCGTTGCTCATAGATGGCGGTAGGTGTCTAGAGTTCGGTGTCTTCATTTCTTTGCGGGGGACACGATCCTGGGGAAACTAGCCCTTAACAGCTTTGCTGTAAAAATTGGTCACACGAACATATAACTTCCTGCTAACAAATGCATACCATATCACTCCAAATCGCAAAATTTTGTGCCTGCTAAGTATTTCCAAAACCCACACTTTCCCGAATTCACGAAATTCACCAGCAAAAATAAAGTACTTTACAGTGTATAAATAAAAAAAAACACATTCTTCTTAAAATTTCCACTTGCATCTAGAGACCTTCAAGAAATGGTGTAGTACCCAGACGCTTTACGGAAGCTTTGGAAAGCTCTGCGGTTGGTAGAGAAAGCACCATCACCTTGAGGTTGAGGATTTTAGTGGAGAATGTGAAGGGCTCGATGCACTCCAGGTCAAAGTAGATCTCCTTGAGGCAGCTGCAGCACAGGATCTGATTATCCACCTCCACGTCCGTCTTGTACTCCACCTGGTCAGGTACGAGAAAGTCAGACCATCGAACCTGTCTGGCCCCAGCAAGCAAAGGCAGTCAAGATTGGCCTGGCCCTTTGATTCTCAAAGGACTTCATGAAAGTGCAACAGATATTCAAGCTGAACATTACAGCTTATTTTAAGTCTCCCCATCATTATCAATAGAAATAAAATTATTATTACTATTACCAGAAAAATCCCATAAAGGTACCCTCCCCCGAGAAATGGCACATCCCGTTTTTCTGGCTAAGTATCTGTAACACAAAAATTCCGAGACGTTGCCCACCTCCTGATTCCCGTCAGACATCACGCAATGTCCAACAGGAATCACATCAACCGCACGATCTGCAGTACCGGTATGTGCGACAAGCGAGTTTGCGTAGGGGTTTTTGTTTTTGTCCGTAATCTGCACGCGCAATATTGGTTCCCGTGACACGCAAGTTTCTAGCGAGTTCCCTCGTTTTTTGTCTGTTACCTGCACTTGCGATATTGGTTTCCTTGATATGTAAATTTGCAGCAGGTTTCTGCATGTTCATCGCACCGTGAAACACGTATCTGCTGCATCCGCAGTCTGCAGTATCCTTTCCAGTGACGCAGGAGTTCGTAGCGCATTGTTGATAGTTTTGCTGTCAAATCGCCAAAAATAGTCTCATCATGTTTTCACCATTTATTTCTTCATTTTGGGTCGGTGCCCTCACGGGATTTTAAAGGGGCCCTGAAAGCACTTTTTACTGGTTTTTAATTTGTACCGAACCTGAGCGCGCTGACCGCAGTAACTTAATGCAATTTTTCTTTTCTTGAATTTCGCTTTATTTTAGAAGTTATAGGAAAATTAAAATTACAAAAACAAGCAAAAAATCACCTCCCTCGTGACGTCCTTGGTTGCTTCCGTGGCCGTGAACTAGAGGAGGGACAGTGAGCTCAGCGAGCGCAAATGGCTGCCGCACTCCGTGTCGACGGCGCGAGAGGGCGCCACTAAAGCGTGTTCTGGATAGGCTGTATACAGCGGGCAGCCAGAGCGGCTCTCATTGCATTTGCTGCGTTATTAAACACTAATTCGGCATGACACTTCATTGGCCACAAACAACAGCAAACACGGTGTAAAGATCAGTACAGAATGGGAGCCACTTCGCGCTGCCCTACCGCGAAACGGCCAAAACGCAAGACAAAGCTGCTCACTGAAGGCCTTTGGAACGCTCGGAGCCGGTCGGATCCTCCAGTCCGTGAACGACCGCAGCGCTGCCGCGTACATCCGGGACCTTTCCGTGTCGGTGCGTGATCCCACTACTACTTTCTAGTATGCGCCGCCTTTTCCGCCGCTTGGTGGCAGGTATGTCGACGGGTCATTTCTTGTTTCCGTACTTTATAAACTGCATTTGTTTCTTTTCTGATCTAAAATACTGAACAAAAACTACTTTTATAAATAATTGAAACGGTTCGCGCCACTTATATTTTGTATTTTGACTAAAAAGAAGCTTTTAGCGGCTCTGAACAGTAGTAAGCCCGGGACCAAAGACGTCACATTTCGCGCGCTTTCAGTACCGCAGGTCGCCCCCGTCGGTGGAGGAGGTTTTCGCGTCATCCGGTTAAAATATGATGCACTGATTTTTAGTTACTCTCTCCGTGCCCGCTGGCTTGCCCGAACCCCAAGAGACGTGGAAACCGCAAAAAAGGCAGACACTTAAATATGATTGCAGGGCCCCTTTAAGGTAATATTATTATATGGCAATGACGAGTAGACCAGAAGCTGAGTACTGCAATCACTTTAGATCACCAGATCAAAGATGAATGTAATATTTGGATACTACCAAAGCACCTGAAACTCTTCCTGTACTTCAAAGCTTAATGTATTGTAATACAGTTGAATCTCATTAATTCAAACTCTCTTAAGTTAAACTTTCATATAATTCAAACTAACCTGCAGGTCCCATCCTATGTGTCTCTATGGGAGGAAACTCACAATAATTCAAACTCACCTTTATTAAAAAAAAAAGTTTGGTCCCCCTCAAGTTCGAATTAACGAGATTCGACTGTATTATCCTTTGATAAAGTTAGCATATTTTTGTGTGCTTTGCCGTGTACTCTACTGTGCCATACACTCCAGATTTCTAATGTGCACAGTAGCAGAACTGATATACTGAAAGCTTGCATTGGCATCTGGACTTGAAAATGTCTGCACATCAAAAAAACTTGCACACTGTTTTTGCTGAAACTGACTATAATTAAAGTGGCCTTCTGGCAGTGTTGGGAAGTAGTACTTCAATTACTAAAGTGCTACATCAAAGAGGTTTATAATTCCTGTACTTTACATGAAGTACATTCTCCAAGTATGTACTTTTAACTTACTTAACCCATTCACTACCAAAGCCGGCGAATCGCCGGGCGTGCCGTGAGGGGCCATATTGCCAAAGCCGGCAATTTGCCGGACTGCACAAATTTCTGTTTTAAAGAGCCATTCACAGATGGCATGCAATGTAGACTTGGGCTAGTGAAGTTAGATACATTGTCAACAGATGGCAAGGGTCGTTCTGTTCACTGCGTTTGTTTGAGCTTCTTCTTTTGTGCGTTGTCTACCCCGCTTGATCGCTGCCTGCCTGGAGAAGATGGCAGTGTCCAGTGTACGGTGTGGCTTTTCTGACGATGAAATCATAGATATCCTCTCCGACGGCGATTACGACGGTACATCTAATTAGAATAGCGAGTTTTTGGAGCCTTCTGTCAACGACGGGAGCGATTCCGACAGCATTTCAGAGTCTGAATCACGAAAAGAGCGCACTGGTTGTGCAACGCCTAAGCAACCGAGGATGGAGTGCTTCGAGATCTTTCATACAAGGAAGAATCTGTGAAAGCCTATTGATTTAAAGACTTGAACTAACCACTTAAGCATGTAAATAAACATATTAACTTCTTCTCTGCAGTGAGTTTACTTGTATGCACTGTACTGTTGCCATTATGGTTTATTTACATGAGACAGGGCTGAGAAGCAAATATTTAAACAAAGCAATACTTTATTGAAAAAGAAAAAAAGAAACAAACAGAATAGTGCAAAATGTGTGAGAACAGAGCTCCCTTCCAAGCAGAAATGAATCCACCATATAAAACTATTATTTATGGCACATGTGGCGCGCTCGTGGCATGGGGCCGCAACATGCTTGCCGGCCACTTCCCAAAGCGTCGCGGGCTGCATGCAGTCCGCAGGCCGCGTGTTTGGGACCCCTGGTATAGGCGAATGAGATGGCATCATGAAAGATTATGTTCAAACTTGTACTTTACTTTGGATGTACATTGTACATTTATAATATTTTACTAAAAGTACATTTCACCCAGGTGTACTTACTACTTTACTTGTATAACCACTCATATTCTTTGTAATTTACTTCAAGTACTTTTTAGATGTGCTTTATCTAACACTGCCTTCTGGTTCACAAAAATGTGCTAAAAAAGTCAATCAGAACACAAAAACGAAAGAGGAACATAAAAGACCATACAGGTGATGTGGCTGGAAGCTTGTGTCGTCTACATTGTCTCTAATCTCCCTTTTATATTTTCATATTCTAGTCGCCAACACGCTGACCCATCCGAGTCGTTCAGGACCACAGCTCAGTCGTGGCATTGTGTCTCGTCTACGACTGCAGTCAGTTATACGGGAACACATACTGAACTCACCTTGACGAAGATTCGCCTTGTCCCCACTTCTGAATTCCTCAGCAGAATTGTCTGCCTCCTCTGTTCCACAGAAACACCAAGAGTCGAGAGATTGGAGGCAGCACTAAATTCGTGACTATCATCAAGACAGACCTCACTGATGTAAACAGTCCCGAAACAAAAATTGAACAGTCCCGTGTTAATCCACTGTCCAGTCACAGCGACACAACTCGGCAAAGTCGTTGGGCATCGGCGTCGTGTTCACGCACCGTGGGCAACATTACTAGATTACCTCAGTTGTGGAACTCCCGTGGAGCAGGAGTTCCACAACTGAGGGAACTCCCCACAGAGGGGAAGTTCCCTCAGTTCGCTGCCCACGAAGCGCTGGATGGATTTTATAAACAAGTATTGTCAAGCTGATGCATGGTGGCACGCATTTGAGCCAAAAAAGGCGAAGTGTTGCCGCCAATCTAGTTTGTCGTAATGGTGCGGCACCGGTATTTACAGCAGACCAAAAGGCGCGTGCTTGCAAATGATGGCGCGTCACTGGCAGCCACAGCAGACCAATGGGAGTGAACGCGTCTGGATGTGGGGCCAAAAATGGGTCAAAAATTACGACGCGTAGTCGCCAACATCCAATAGGAGTGCCTGTGGAACGATCAAACAATGGCGGTAGTTGGACGAGTCAGGATATCCAGCGCTCTAGCCGCACGTTGTTTGAAGTGCCATCTAGATTTTCATTTCAAAACTATGTTCCATAGAGTATGGTAAAACGCCATCTAAGCACTGTGCTTCTAAACATACGTATTACACGGGATACACTGCAGTCACCATAGCAGCCATCCCGCAAGTAGAACCACCGAAGGTGAGCCGGAAAATAGGGGGGTATTGTTTGTGCAAGCAGCATCTATGAGTAGTTCCGTAACTGAGCTAACCTAACAGCAATGACCGTGGGGTGCGTGAACAAAAATGTTTTGAACAAAATAGACACCTGTTTTGCTCCGCATGCTTTTGTTTTGTTCCAATTTGTTCCAGAAACTTTTGTTTCTTTTTGTTCCAGAGCGCGTGAAAGTACTTCTTCTGGCATGAGCTCTTACCACTGACAGTGCCACGACGGCATTTTGTTATCTGCTAGTTCTTTTTTTACAGAGAGCGTGTGCATTGGGCATCGGGTACAGCAAAAACCCTATATTAAGACAGGCTAACGCTGTTGAGTAGCTCAGTGGTAACGCCTCCACATCGTACCCAGCAAACCGAGGTGCGATTGCCACGAGCAGAGGGTGATCTCTTTCAAGGATTTGGCAACATTGACGATGGATGCCCTACATCGCCAACTACAACATCAACAATGACTACTAATACAACACCAACAACTGCAACAACTACCGCAACATGAACAACGGACGTCATTTCCAGTGGTGGGAAAAAGAGCCCAACCGTAATACTATAGCTTAAAAATACTAAGATTTTTGTCATCAGAGTCTACACTTAGAATATGTAACACGTAATGATAATAAATGTCAGGCTTTAAAAAGCAATATATGCATAGCTATACTGGTGTCCTCAGCATAGTATGGCACAATCTTCCAAAAGTACTATAGTTTGTTGAACATGTTCAATGGCAGCTCTATATGCAGATCTTCTTTGGCTTAGAACACAAGTTTTCAAACTGAATTTTGGGTTTCTACCTAAAGTGCTTTTTCCCGATTTAAGCAATATTTGATTAGACCCAAAGTCACTCATTAATATATAACGAGTCGACCACTCCTTAGGATCTGCATTATTGTTTACGAGGCATGTACACTTCTGCACTTTTTCATTGAATCAATGCCGCGACCGCCAGGGGCTTCTCGGCTCCCATTCGAGACAAAATGGGTGTCCTCAAAAATAAAACCCTCGAGAACTTGTGGCCTGGAAAAAGACTTAAAGTTGTCATCGTCCAGTTTTAAGATGGGCCACTCAAATCTAGTTATAGCACCGAAGACACTCTCGTCTGGGACGATGAAAGCGACTGCTCAGACAACATCGAGCGTCTATCGAAGGTGAATGCAACTCCTCAAGATATTTTCTGTAATTATAATGATAAATAAAGTGAAAATCAGCTAATGGCAAACCAAGTGTTTTATGTACCATAACACAATAATCAGGGCTCTCAAACCCCTTCATAACATTCATTGGGGGCCCGCCCTCTTTTGTCATTATTCTTTGAAATATGATCCACCCCCTCAAGCTGTTGCATCCACTATAGTGGATGAAAGGTTAAGAGTATATCGGAAGCTCCCTCCCACCTCTTTCCACTTTAGCAGAGCAATTGCTGAGAGAAGGTCGCTTCCTCTCTCGTGTTCACTCTGCTAAAGTGAAAAGAGGTGGGAGGAGCTTCCACCTTACTCTTAACCTGCCACTGTCTATAAAGAAGCTTTTTCAAATTACAGCTCTGCCATACATGCTCAAAGCAGTTCTTGGCCCCTATGGTCAAGAGTGTAAAGTCGGGGACAAAAGTCCCCAGCACGCGCGAGCTGCGACTGAGACGCATTGCTCTGCCATCTGCCAACAAGTCGCCTTGTTTCGAGATCACAAAAAAGCGCTTGCACGTCCTACTGTGCCAGCAAACGTGTGTTTTTCTGCTCTTCTGCGGTGCGGCGCCTAACTCGTAGTAGTGTGCATGGTACCGCCTCGGAGATAGCGCTCGCAGCTGACGAGTGTCTGCTACACATTCAGAAACTCGAGATACCGCCTGCGGCATCGCATTGGATTTTGCCGATCAGCGCACCTTGCTTTATAACCAGTTGAGCTTATCGCTCAGTTGAGCTGCCATGACTTCTTGCTTTATAAATGTCATGTCAATAAGCACACCCTAATAATGATGATGTACAGAGAAACGTTAAATCATTGCATATTGAAAACCAGACTCACTATTGGCCAGCGATATGCAGTATACATAGCAGACGCTCGTCAACCGCAAGCGCTATCTCCGAAGCGGCACCATGCGCCCGATTCCGAGTTAGGCGCCGCACCGCAGAAGAACGGGAAAACAGACATGCTTGCAGGCACAGTAGGACACGCATGCGCTTTTGCGTGATCTCGAAACCAGGCGACCCGCCGGCGGATGGCAGAGCAATGCGTTTTAGTCGCAGCTTGCGCGTCCTTAAGACTTTTGTCTCCGACTGTACATATTTATTTCCATACTTAGGACAAACTGCGCCCCATAGGGGGGACTGCCAGCTTGTTGGACTGTGGAAACCAACATGTCCCTTAGCTTTGGCATGGACTGTAGAAACACTGGCTGGCCCAACAAGAATTTCACAAAATAAAGAGGAGCAGTCCGAGACAGCAGCGCACCTGTCCAGCTGCCGGTATGTCGTCCAAATGGAATCCCTGGAGCTTGTTGGCCACTTGCTGAGGAACCACGGGAGCCTCGCAAGTGAAGTGGGCTAAAAGAACACAAGCTAAACGTATAACAGCTTTGGAAAACAGCGCATTTGGTCATACCTTAATTAAGTGGTAACATCGAGACTAGCACTGAATTAAAAAAAAACAAGCTAAATTCAGACTTCGGCATAAAGAGATAGGTTCCATGCATCGACACTGTCGCTTGTTGGCCGACAATAAAACGAATGAGGGACGACTCACTTGTTGAGTAATATTTGGGGTCCAGGTCATCAACCAGACCCAGGCTAAGGAACACCTCGGTGAGGGGGTTCACCTCCTCACTTGCTATGGTCACTGAGAGCGGATAAAACTCGTGTAGCAGCACGGGCGGCTTGTGGTCCAGAGTCACCGAAAGGTGCGGCCTCCTTGGATGAATCCTGCGGTGACCCGGGCCGTGTCGTCAATATGACAAATCGCACACAGTTTTTCGTCCACAACGTGGTGCCCGGAATGTGCCTGTGACCAGGCACTAGTGTGTTTGGAATCCTATACCTCCCATGCGTTGGAGTGTCCTCGAAGAAGTAATAAAAAAGAGACTGTGACTGAAAGGCGCAGACAGTTGCAATCTTGGGGTGAGGCCATAGGAGCAACTGCTTAGCAGACAAACAGACACCAGATCTGCCGATGTTGAGCATCTAAACTTTGGCCATCGGGGTGTTCGTTGATTAGCCGGTTGGAGCTGAACAGGCATCTGCAGTCCCCATCACTAGTGCCATGATGAATTGTGCACAATTGTGACTTCAATAGGCATGAACTAAACAGACCAAACCAAGATGCTTAAACACACCATTGGAAAATGCATTCCAGGCAACTCATACCCTGTTTCGCTAAATGTGAGCGTAAGAAATGCTACAAGAGCAAGTATAGGGGTTTCAGCGTCCCTGCCAAGCATGCCCACCCATGCACTGCAAGCATCGTTTGGGACAACATGCTCATGCTTGTAGCTTTGGTTTAGCTTGCATTGCACACAAGAGTGAAATTAGCTAATAGTCAACGGATCGATTTTTTGTCTATTCGATCCAGAATGTTACGGACACAAGTAGAAATCTTTTCCCACTCTTTCCCGCCAGAGGGGTAGCCAGTCAAAAATCTGCTTTAGCCAAACTTGTCAACTTTTCTCATAAAACAAATGAAAAATTATAGAGAAAACATGTACAGCAAGAGATCACACTAGGTATGAACAAACTCAACAACTTCTGCCTTGTGAAAGACTCTAACCTTCCTAGCTAAAGTAGGGTGACCAAGTGATGGCCATGTGTTATCTCTTAGCGTATTTCTTTCATACACTGCATCAATGTCAACCAAAATGAGAAAGAGTGAAAGAGGAGAATCTCTCAATGCTCAGTCAGTTGCAGAAGATGGCAAAAAGATTTCCCCTAAAATACTCCAGGTCATTTGGTAATAGTGAACATATCCTCTATCCAACAACCATATATTTGTGTGACAAACCAATGTGCACGTCACTTCCCAGTTCAGGCTGAGTGTGTAGGTAGCATACAATAAAAAAAGAGGGAGGTAGCATACAATAAAAAAAACACATTGATTTTCTGAATTATATTCCTAACGAGTGTGTTGGTAAAGTATACTAGATAATAGAGAGAATAAAACATAGAGGACAAAACAGACGAGTACATTCCTCCTCTGTGTTTCGTCCTCTCTGTTTTATTTTTTCTGTTATCTAGATTTTCTAAACTTTATCGTTTTCATTAGAAATTCAACAAACAAAGATCCAGAATCTGACAAATTCAATTGCTTCTGACAAGTGGAAAGCTCACAAGTTCACTCCAACTCACAAACTGGATGGGGGCCATAAACGCTGGAGACCACAAATGAGAGGTGTCATTTATCATGGTACCTAGTGGAGGCCAGCTGGGGCAGCTGGTGGAATGCCACCTCCTCCCCCGAGACAAACTGCTTATTCGGCAGGGGCTCCCAGGCCAGGCCGCCACGGACAGAGCCGGCATGCAGCCAGTCGAAGCTCCATACCAGGGTCAGCCCCGGGGGATCACGTGAGCCCAGGCAGAGGTGCACGGAAGACACCTGCACCGGAGTCGACCAGTTCACTCACTTCACTCGATCACCACGAAAGCCAGCCATGGCATATTGGCAAATATTTTTCTATGAATCTAGTAAGAACCAGGGTCACTTATTAATGCGAAAGCATTAACTGTCTCACGAAGCGAGCTGACGTCATCAGTTTGAAGCGCGAAAACGGCTCCTAGTTTCCGCGATCCCAACAGGAGCGATTCGCCTTCGGTTCCATTGGCTGGTGGGCGTCGACGGGGCTCCCATTGGCCGCTGTGTCATGGCCTCCGAGATCCCAAAGCGCGCGCGCGCTAGTACGTAGCAGACGACAAAGGGAGCGGACGAGCGGCTTGCATGCTTTCGCATTCACAACTCATAAGAAATGCTTAGGTGTACCTCGAGCTTCTTTCAGCACTTACCAAAAAAGCACCAATGAACATGCGCCAAATATTACTACCTTGCTGGATGGTGGGAAAAAAAAAAGACCGGTGTTAAAGATTTGACATACGATGCGCTGTTGATTGTTTCATTCTTGGTACGTTCTAAATACCGTACTTGCTTGATTTTAGACCAGCGAGGTTCTTAATGCAAGGGGCAAATTGATTTTACATCCTGCAAAAAAAATAAAACTAACGTAACGCGAGGTTAACTGAGGAATAATGAGGTACTTTTGTGGTACCTTATTGGGTTTGGTTGGAACACCCGACAGTAATGAAAGTCATGAAAGTTACAAAACCAAAAACCAAAGCTAAAAGTCTGAGCATTAAAATGTTGAAACCAGCCAGCTGAGTTGCCCTAGGGTCAATTATATAAAACAACACCTTAAGAACTGCCCAAACAGCCAATTTTAATGGACTTGAATTCGGATTTTATGGTTCTCATTTTAAGTTATTAAGAGGAATATGTCGCCAGCACAAGACTGAGAGATTTTGGGGGGTTAATGGCGCAAAAGCTACGAGGCCATCTGCGCCAAACTAATTGTAAGGATCATTGTATTAAAGGAAAAGTTTTACAAAAGATTGACCAAAAGGCTAGAGTCGGTGTAAAAGGCCAATACTGCTAAGAAATTCCACTACCTGTTCAAAAGAGACTAGAGGATTCTCTCCCACAAGGAGAGCAGGATGAAATGGGATATGATATTGGAAAAATTCAGGGAAATGAATGCGGCGCTTGGACTGAAGGCCGGGACACTGCCACAAGATATGCAAAACAGTGAGCCTGTCACCACACTGATCACACACAGGTGGATCTTCTCCCGAAAGCAGATACCTATGAGTTATAAATGAGTGTCCAATTCTCAGGCGGCATAACAATGTTTCATGAAGTCGGCTCTTGCATGAAGAACTTTCCCAGACTCCCAATGCAGGTTTGGTAACATGAAGCTTGTTATCGCACTCCATGTCCCATTCCAATTGCCAAGAATGAAGAATTGAGGACTTCACCAAGGGTTTAATATCTTGATAGGGTAGACAGGAGAGCGATTGTGGAAGGTTCCCGGCAGACCCTGCAAGTTTGTCGGCTTCTTCATTGCCATGAATGCCAGTATGACTGGGCACCCAACAAAATTTTATATTTTGACCCCCATGCAAAGCAGAGTTCAGTTTATATCGAATTTGTTGTACAAGCATATTTTTAGTATCTTTAAGAAAGCAAACTGCAAGAATCACACTTTGAGAGTCAACAAACAGGACTGCCCTCAGTATTTTACTATTGATAATATATTCAATCGCCATTGATACCGCATAGAGCTCCGCAGTAAAAATGCTGGCGATACAATCAAGTCGTTGAACCTTGGAGAAGCTTTCAGAGTGTACGGCGCAACCGACGAAAGATGAAGTCTTGGCACCATCTGTATAAACATGAAGATAACCATCATACTTATTTTGCAGTTCTCCAAACTCTTGCTTAATTACAGCATGGGAAATGCCGTGCTTGTTGAACTTTGCGAGAGACCAGTCGGATTCAACTCGCTGTGTTTTCCAAGGTGGAATACCGTTCACTTTCCGAACGAGGCTGACCTGGTCCAGAGAAAGATGCAGCGAGGAGCGAAGATGTTCAATGCGGAAGCTCAACGGTGTTACAATGCTTGATTTATTTTCAAAAAGGCGAAAGAACCTTGACCTTGTGAGTGAAGAGTAAGTCGGATGCTGAGGATCGGCCAGAATCTTGTAAGCATATGTTAGACTAAGATATGTACGTCGTTTGTTCAGGGACAGCTCATTGGATTCTGCATACAAACTAAGGACGGGGGATGTCCGGAAAGCTCCTGTTGCCAGTCGCAAGCCAAGATGATGAACCGAGTCCAACATCTTAAGGGCAGAGGGCCGAGCCGATCCATACACTACTGCACCATAGTCAAGACGGGATCGTACAAGGGCATTGTATAGCTGTAGGATACATTTTCTATCAGACCCCCAAGACTTGTGAGATAAAACTTTCAGAAGGTTTGTTGACTGAAGGTTTGTTGACTGAAGGCTTTTTGCTTAAGCGCTTTAAGGTGGGAAATAAAATTAAGCTTTCTATCAAATATTACACCAAGAAATTTGTGCTCCTTCCTAACAGGTATAGGAGTTCCATTCAATTCCAGGGATGGATCCAAAGACAGACCGCGTCGTAGAGAAAAAGGGACACAGACTGTTTTTGAAGCAGAGAACCTGAACCCATTTTCGTCGGCCCACTTGGACAATTTGTTTATGGCTAACTGCAACTGGCGCTCACAACTAGAAAGGTTACAAGACGATGATGAAATCTGTATATCATCAGCATAAAGAGAATATGAAATAGAGGGTGGCAGCAGTCGTGCGAGTGAATTCATTGTTAGCAAAAACAAAGTTACACTTAGAACACCCCCTTGAGGGACTCCATTTTCTTGAACAAAGGAATCAGATAGGGCTGAGCCAAGACGAACTTGGAAAGTCCTGTCTGTCAGATATTCCTTTATGCTTCGCAGCATACGGCCCCGGATATTACAGGCATACAGGTTTCGGAGAATCCCATACCTCCACGCTGTGTCGTATGCCCTTTCTAAGTCGAAAAAAACCGCAACACAGTGCTGCCTGTTTACAAATGCCTCACGTATCACAGTCTCCAGGCAAACTAAGTGGTCAAGGGTAGATCGACCTTGGCGGAATCCACATTGATTTTTATCAAAGACCCTCTGGCTTTCTAACATGTAGACCAGTCGCCTGTTTATAAGCCTTTCATATGTTTTCCCAAGGCAGCTTGTCAGTGTAATTGGGCGGTAGCTTGATGGTTGTGAGGGGTCTTTGTTAGGCTTTAGGAGGGGGATGGTGTGTGCATGTTTCCAAGCCTGAGGGAAACATGCCTTTTCCCACAAAAGATTAAAAAACAGGAGAAGATTTTCAAGGGACTCCGGAGAAAGGCGGTGCAGCATTTCATAATGAATTCCATCAGGACCAGGGGCCGAGAGCTTTGTCACATTAAGAGCCATCTCAAGCTCGCATCTCGTAAATGGTTGGTTATAGGATGCTGAATTTTCTCCTGATATGAGAAGCTTTTGTCGTTCTGCACGAGCTTTTAACTGTCTGAAGGTAACACTGTAGTTGGCCGAACTAGACGAATTATAAAAATGTTCCCCGAGTATGTTACCAATATCTTTTAGTGATGAAGAAGGAGCATTAAATGTTGGAATGGCAAAGCACCTGTAATCCCCATTTACTTTCCGGTATCGGTCCCAGGCCTCTTTAGCTGGGACAAAGCTGGTTAAAGAAGAGAGATACTTCATCCATGACTTCCGCTTTGCCTGCTTCCTAGTCCAACGAGCCTTGGCTTTTCGTCGCTTGAAATCAACAAGGTTGCTTGGAGTGGGGTATCTACGAAATCGGCCCCACGCCCTATTTTGGTCCGCCTGGGTTGTCGCACACTCCTTATTCCACCAAGGTTTACATTTCTTGGGTATATTACCAGATGTTTGTGGAATGGACTGCTGAGCAGCCTTTAGTATCTGCTCAGTAACATAAAGTGTAGCGTTCTCAGGGGACATAGACGAAAGAAGCGAAGGATCTAAAGTGGAGTGAAGATTAAAAAGCGCCCAGTCTGCCTTGTCTAATTTCCACCTAGGGACCCTCTTTAAAAGATTAGGCAATGGAACGGTACTCTCTAAAACAACTGGATAGTGATCACTTCCAAAAGGGTTATGAAGAACCTTCCAGGAAAAGCAAGGAAGCAATGAAGGTGAAGCAATAGAAAGATTGATGGATGTAAATGAGTTGTGTGCCGCACTAAAAAATGTTGGCTCTCTCCCATTAAGAAGGCACAACCCCGAAGACAATAAAAGACGTTCAATCACACCACCACGGGAGTCTTGACGGGTACTACCCCACATAGGATGATGAGCGTTAAAATCCCCCAAAATTAAAAACGGTTGTGGGAGCTGTCCTATAAGTCCCTGAAGCTCTTGAAGGTTTAAAGGAGCATTAGGTGGCAAGTATAAGGAAACAATTGTTACAAGGCGGTCTAGAAGGAGACGTACTGCAACAGCTTCCAGGGGCGTGCAGAGGGGGACTTGAGAACAAGCAACTCCCCTCTGTACGACCACTGCAACACCACCAGAAGGGGTGGAAGAGGGGCGATCTTTTCTAAAAACCTGATGACGTCTTAAAATATTAAAAGAATTAGTGTTAAGATGGGTTTCTTGCAAGGCGAGAGCGATGGGTCGAAGCTGATCCATAAAATAGTTGACATCATCAATATTTCTTAAAATACCTCGACAGTTCCATTGCATAAAATGTAACTTAGTCATCTATAAAAGGTATGTAAACATAAAACTGAAAAAATAAACCTAATAAAATGAGTAAGATTGTAGAGTCAACACAAACTAGGTGGAAGACATTGGGATCATCATTTGGGTGGGACAACAGGCTTCTTATTCTTTCTATGTTTACTGGAGGGCGTTTCCCACTCCATATTGTCCTGGTCGGACCCAGGAGTGGACAGATTGTCAGCATCTGTTGACATCTCCACCTCCTGAGAGGTGTCCGTTGTTTTTAGAACAGCACTTGTCCGGCCAGGTGTGCGGGGGGGCAAACCCCGACCACGACCGGCTGGGGGGGTTGCAGACGAACTGGGCGACGGGTCGTCTGAGCTCGTCTGGTCCCCTCCTTTCACAGGAGCTGCATGGGCACCATGCTGCTCCTTCGGTAGGGGGGCCCTCTCTAGCGAGCAAGAGCGAGAAGCTCGCTCCGTCTCCCCAGGGGGCGACCTAGGAGAGGGGGCAGGCGCGGCTGCTGCCGGCCTGTCCCTGGAAGGAGCAGCAGCACGCTTGCTACCACCAGGGGCTGGAGGAAGCAGCCGCTGCTCCTTTCGGGGAGCTAGGGCCCCGCAGTCGGCCGCCAAGATCTCGGGAGAGACCTGGGTGGCCCTTGACTCCGAGCGTGGTGCAGGGCCCCTGCGCACCACCTCGGCAAAACTCCCCTTTGACAAAAAGGAGAACCGGTTCTTGGCTTCTGGGTATGATATGTTTTCTTTAACTTTGATGGTAAGAATTTCCTTTTCTAGCTTCCAAGAGGGACATGCACGATAATAAGCAGGATGTGGTCCACCGCAGTTAGCGCAGAGGGCCGCAGCCGCCTCGCAAGTATCGGAAACGTGACCTTGACTACCGCACTTCGCACACGTCTCCTTCCCTCGACAGCTGCGTGTTCCATGACCAAAACGCTGGCAACGGAAGCACCGCTGGGGGTTGGGGACGTACGGGCGAATGCGGCAGTTCAAGTATCCTGCCTTGACTGTCTCGGGGAGGGTATGTCTTTCAAACGTCAGGATAACATGTCTCGAAGGAATTTGTTCGCCATCTTTCCTAAACATAATGCGTTTCACGGCGACGACACCGGCACCCTGGAGTCCCTCGAGGAGTTCTTCCTCACTTGTGTGCAAGAAGTCGTCCTCAGAGAGGACTCCACGGACAGTATTTAGTGTACGATGAGGACTCACCGACACCTTCACGTCAACGATGGTAGTCAGTTTAAGAAGTGCGTCACTTTGTTTTTTTGTATTCACTTCCACGAGAAGGTCTCCAGTGTGCTGTTTTTTAGCCTTGTAGGAAAACCCTACAAGGTTTTCTAGCACCTTTGTTACAATAAAAGGTGACAGCTTGGAAACAGGTCTTTGTTCATCCAGCGAATGAACGATGAAAAACTTAGTAAACGTTTCTACTTCACATTCTTTGTCTATGGTTTTTTGTTCGGGGCAGCGCCTTTTAAGGGCGTGCCCTGAATGGGGTTTGGAAGGGTGGGGCGCCATAAAAGGGCAAAGAGTGTTCGAAATCCGCGGTGCACCGCCCACCACCGAGCCCAACAAGGGGTTAGGTAACGCACCATAACAAGAAGGGCTTGGCTGGAGACGTTACGCTAACAGTGCTGCCGGGAAACTATACCCAAGTGTGGGTCAAGACAGAGGTCTATTGCCACCCAAGGTTAGCCCTTGCCGCCAAAGAGGGGTGAAAAAGGAGCAAAAGAAATGAGAAGGAAGTGAAAGAACCAGGAAAGGTAAAAGCGAAAGATCGGAGGGGATAGTAGAAGAAAAGGCGACTAGACTGAATGATCCTGGCCGGGCCTTACCAGGACTCCCGTCTATGAGAAGCGGGGGCCGAAGTGGTGTATTGCCTCGCCCGGGGGGCCCCGAAGGGTCCAACCCTGCCCCGGGCTCAGCTCAACCACCAGGATGCCCTTTTCCCCAGACACGGGAAAGCCACGCACAGTCAGACGTGGGCGGGCGAACCCGCATGGCTCGGGGTCCGTGGAGACGCCACTCTCCAAACACCTGCTTTCACAGGTGCCCCCTGCGGGGCCAGCACAAGACTGAAGAACCGCAGATTCTGGAGGTCGCAGTTATTCCAAAACGGCAGAATGACGAGCTAAATATCAAGTCATTTGATTACCGTAGAATACCACGCATCCGCCCATTCCGCATTAAGCGCCCTTATCCAAATTTCTAAGATATGAAAAAATATGCACAGTACATTTATACGTAAAATTTTGATCGGACAAGCGCCCATCCCACATTTTTTCGCATTATCTCTAAATTTTAAATGGGCGCTTCCCCGGTATTTTACAGTTAATGTAAGAGTCAACTTTACAGCACAAAATGTCTGCAAAAACCACTCATCACAGTCGAGAAATATGTTACTCGAAGGTGCAAATCCCATCCTGCACCACCTTTTTGAAAATAAATGACCAGAAGCATTATAGCCATACCTGGCATACTGTTCAAATGTAAAAACGAGCATGCCTCAGCAAAAAGTCTCACCAGAATGGCACCAGACCAATGTTGCAGTGCAGCTTAAAACAGAAAATGCCACTGACCTGGATGTCCGTGTTGGCATCACATGTGCGGGGCAGGAATGCAAAGAAGAAGGACTGTGTCCTGCGTGGAACTAAGTGCAGGCTGGTTCCGCTCATGGCTGCTGATTCGTCTTCTACCACACAGAAGCTGCTGTAATGCTGCAAAACAGCGGGAGCCACTCATTTCTAAATGGAATGTCAGGCAAAAGGCACACGAGAAGCAACATCTGGATTGGCACAGTGTATGACGACGACTGAGCTCTAGGCAGATGCACTGTACTGGTACAAATCTATGAATCCAAATTTGTCTTATTAAAGGGATACTGAACCGAAATTTGGATTTCGCAAAGTAAGGCTGCAGAAGTGTTGAACGGGAAGCTGCGAACTCCAAAACATCACTCGTATATCGATATCTCTAACGGACGGCCGTACTTTTGGAAAAGAAGGGCGCGATCAAGCGAGTTCTCTGACGTAACTGTCCTCCGGGAGAATTTGAGAATGAGGAGAAGCGGCCTCGCTTCTCTCCTCCTCGCTTCGGTTCACCAGCTTGACGGGACGTAGCGATGAGGAGAGAGAATGGGCATCGTGACGTGCCTTGCCTCGTCCGCCTCGTCGGCCGGGTTCAATCGCGCACTTCTTTTCCAAAAAATACGGCGATCCGTTAAATATATCCCCGTATGAGTGATATTTTTTGGTTTTGCAGCTTCCCGCCTATCCGCCCGGCCTTGTTTTGTGAGCTCGAAATTTCGGTTCAGTATCCCTTTAAAGGGACACTGACAACCCCCAAAATTTTTTTATTATATTTTTGCCAGGCAATTCATTATGGTGTCAGAAGACTACCCAATCAATATTTTACTAAAGCATCACATATAGTTTCGATAAAGTAAAAAAAAAAACGCAAAAGCTCGGAACCGAAACTGAAACTGGAGACTGGGGAGGGAGAAGAAATATAGAGCAGGAGAGAGGTGGCGGAAGTCACATGGCTTTGCAATGTTTTTTTCTTCAATCAACATTTTGGTGGCTTTTTAGAAGCCACAAAAAATGGGTATCATATTTCTTTTCTATTTTTAATATTGAGTGTGTCAGTGATGTGATTGGCCTGAGTCACTTTGGAGCAGCTCTTGGAGCAGCCAAAAGTCCATTTTGGAGCAGCGAAATAGCATCTGTAGCATCATTGTTATTTATACCAATGCAAACATTATGTTAAAATTATTACCTCAATGTGTCCAACCAAAAGGCAATGTCTACATTGCCTTCTCACTTACGTTCAAACCTTTGTTAGCATCAATTGCACAGCAGGAGTCTCTCAAACACAACACTAAAGCATTTAGTTGCGTGGAGAAGCACCAGACATGGTGACAAGAAGGTGAGTGATGAAGTACAGCACAAGCTACTTTGAATGGTTATTTTAGGTACTGAATGCCACTGAAATAGTACAATAACATTGAACACATTATTAAAGTTTCCTTCAAGTTCTGGAGGTTGTAATAAAACTGCAATTTATAATTCAGATAAAAAAAACAAATCACTCGACTTTTGATTATGAACGTCAATTACATTTTATGTGTAGAACTTCATAACAAAAACGGCGTGTGAACGGAACTTAAAAACATTCCCGCTGAACTCGTTAAGGTTCGTCCCGAGATTTCATCCACTGCTCCTGCCAATTTAGTTCTAATTTACTCACATCTATAGAAAAGTGATAGCTAAACAAACGAGTTGGCATAAATAAATAAACCTATAAAAGAGCACATACGAATGTTCTTGCAATACTGAAGTATCCTTGCTAAACCTTAAACTGGAAAAAGGTACCGCCAGGATATCGCAGTCCATCATATATACGAGCCGAAGCTGTATTCAGGAATTGTGTCGTGTCTTGCTCTGTAGGAGTACTTTCACCTTAGCAAACGGGTGCGCAGCGGCGAAGCAAGACGCGGAAAATCGCGATGACTACCCCGCAGTTTTCGCTTTTCTGCAGTACACCAGTGCATGGTGAAAAGCGCACTCAACGAGACTAACGAACCTTCCAGCGAAACAGACAACGAATATCAGAATTATTCCGAAACTTCCGATAATACTGTTAGTCTTTCATACGAAATGCGATTGAATAGTATGTTAAATGAGATAATAATCAAAGGTTCTGAAAACCCGCATAAGCGTATCATAACGCTCCGGCCGAGCAGCGCGGCCTGAGCTATCCTATTTTCAGTATTATTAAAGTGAAATTAAGTTTTGGAGCAACGTTGGTGCAAATTCCTCACATTTTGCTAAAATATAGCAGGATGTAGCAGGGTAAGCAGTTCGGCACAGGTGGGCACAAATGGCACAGCAATCACATCACTGGTATGTGCTTTCGATGGTCCAAGACCTCGATTATAATTGGTGGCTCTAAACCATAAAAAACGGCACGTGACCACGGAGAAGAGAGTGAGCGGCGGTTTTCGGGCGGAAGGAATACGAATTTCGAACCGCAAATTGTGTTCTGGGTAGTTGGACTCTCATATGTCATGTACAAATAAAAACCTTAACGAGCATAAATACCCTGTCAGCGTCCCTTCATGGGGAAACCCTAACCTTAAAAGAAAATTTGAAATAATATATTATTAAAGCGCAGCTCTTAGGTACCCGTTTCCGGGTTGGGCGACGTCAGCGTCAGCGTAGCCGCGTGTTGCATTATGGGGCACTTTCCATAACGACGTCACACGTGACGTCACCAGGGTAAAATTTTCCCGCTTAATTTAGCGGGGAAATATTTCCACGAAATTTAGCGGGAAAAGATTTGTGCTAAATTTAGCGGGGAAAGTGACGTCGTGTGTCCTCAACATCAAATCAGTTTCCCCACTAAATTTAGCGGGAAAATTTTCGCTAAGTTTCCCCACTAAATTTAGTGGGAAAAGTTTAGCTTAATTTAGCAAGACATTTAGCAAAAATTTCCCGCTAAATGGGAGAGGAGCAGGAGGGGAGGGTACAGAGGAGGAGCAGGGGCATACCCTCCCCTCCTCCTCCTCCTCAAAAGCCGCGCTCTAATTCGACATTACAGAGAATTGTAAGCGTCCCATTTTTTCAAACTTTTTTTCTTCTTGATTCAGAAGTTACAAAAAACCTGTTTTCTAGTTACTATACTCGGGAGGTGCACCTCTGTATTCTTACATCGATTCAAAGTTTTATATTCTGGCTGTTTAGAAGCATGCAAGCATTTTTTGAAAAGCTTTTCTTACTTTCTCCGAATTAATTTTTTTGTCACAACAAACATCATGCCCGTATATTCTTTAGATCTAGAATTTAGATAAGAATACTTTTTTTTCAGGGTGGGATACCTCATAAATCAAAGAGTGCAACAAATCTTGCATTTCTGAAACTTTTAGTTACAAAACCTTTTAAGTGGAAAAGACTTTAATGATACATTTTTAATTATCACCAAAAATATAGCAAAAACTTTTTATAGAATGATGCTAAAAATATAAGAATGGTTTTGTTGCACTCTCTAATGTTTTTAGAACATGCAGACGTCTTTTGAGCCATGGTTTTTGATGGGAGTATGGTAAAAAAAAAAAAGTTGAGCAGAAATAGTTGATAAAGTTTATAAATTCTTGAAAACTAATACTAGATAAGAAAACAATCAGTTTATTTATGTTAGTGCTTAGAATTTTATGTGCACTGTATGAGAAATGACAAAAAAATGTTCAAGACCAGGGTCTCCCTTAAGTACCACCACGACCTTCAGCAGAATAAAGAGGAAAACATCTACGATGCAGTAAAACTATTGGCTGTGTAATTCTCGTAGTATTGCAGAAGGCATGCAAACCTTCAACAATGGTTAAAAAGCTTGTTAGTTTCCTGGTCTAGCTCAACTGCCCTAAACATGAGCCAACCTGCTGAAGGTTCAGAACAAAAGCTTGAGCAACATAATCGTACACTTCAGAGAAAAATGTGCAACGAGATGCGCATATGAGCTGCGGCATCCGCGGCTCTTCACCGCAGACACATATGGGCTTGTGTTGTTCGTGGGTTTTTCGCCCGAAGTTGATGGATAAATGAAGTTGGCATATTAAATATATTTTTCTAAACATTCCTGCTCCCTCACGGCACACCATGCATGGCACTTATTTGTAATTTGCCATAATATTAATTAATTTACCAAACATTTGACTGTGGCCAAATATTCATAAAGTGGTGTATATGAAATTTTCAAATCGAATATGAGCAGAATCTAAAAATATGCTATTTGTATTTAAAATTTAGAATATTCTTACACACCTAGTTTTTACCTGCAAATATTAACTTTGTGACATAAGACAGGTTGTACTGGTATACAACAGCAAAAACCTCCACTTCATTCTAGTGTTGGAATTTTAAATACAGTTAGCGAAACCACAAATATATTATCAAACACTCCTTTACCATTCATGCAGGACTGTTAAAAATCAGCCCTTTCTACATCAACATTAATATCCAAACCTCCAAATCTAAAAAGAAAATTATTTATTGCGTGGCCAATGCTCTCGTCTTTCATAAAGCTCACCAGAGTATAAAAATCATAGTTCACATATATACTGAAGCTAGTACTTACCTTGGCTTTCTAGTAAAAAGAAAGGCAGGCAGCAATTATTAATTTAAATGGTATACTACAGTAGTTTAACATTTACTAAACTTATTGAACTTTAGGTGGGACAAAATGAATGCACTAAATCATCAAAAAGGATTGCCTTACAAAGAAAAGCCTCATCTCACAGCAAAGTAATTGTCATGTAATCCCTACTTCACCGTCCATGCTATAAAGAGCCCAACTTAAAAGCAGCACAGCCCTGGCCAAACTGCCCCACAAAAGCAAAGACACAAGTGGCCCCATTTGACAGGTTAACTTCCCACAGTCTAATACAGTAAAACCTCGTTATAACAAAGTTGAAGGAGCTGTCCTAATTATTTTGTTATAACCATTAGTTTGTTATAGCCAATGTCCATTTCTTCCCACTATAGCAAGCAAGGGGAATTACGATTGCTTTGTTATATCCATTAGTTTGTTATATCCCATTTTGTTATAACGAGGTTTTACTGTAGTAGGTACTGTCAAGATCAGTTATATCGAAGTCGGTTATAACGAAATAGCTGCTGCAGCGAAGCAATCATGATTTCCCATTCCTGTTTGCACTTTTTCAATGGATTTGAGTATGGTTTTAGCGAAGGAAATAGAGCGGCTCCCACGGATATAGCGAAGAGAAATTTGGTGATAATTTAAGAAGAATAAAATTTGGAACGTTTACCAAGTCTCGGACCGCCGCACTTCGCTGTTGCAGTCAAGAAGTTACCCAGAACAGGCTGCAGAAGATGCTGGAAAGCCAGCCCGCGGCAATCTCTGCAACATTGTCTGTTGCCCGCTCCTTATCTGGGAAGCGGCTTTACCGCACTGCACATGGAGAAGCCGTCACGGTTGCCGATAGATGCGTTCGGAGTGCTAGTGACAACGTACCGGCGGAGATGACGAAGAGAGCCTAGATTTAAGAGAGGGAGCAGTAAGTATGCCTGCGTTTGATTGTTGCATGGCCAGTGTGGCGAGAAAACTCGGTGGAGAGGCGGACATGTTTGCAGAAGGTGAACGCTTTTCAGTTTTGACTCCTTGCATGCTGCAGCTCGTTTTGCAAATGCGTCTCACAAACCACGTGACCCCGATCGAGCAGTTCCCTCATCTCTTAAATCTAGGCTCTCTATACCGAGGACAGACAAGCTTGAGTGCAAACTCGCTGCCCTGCGCACTTCTTTGTTTGCTTCGTGATCTGTGCCAGCATCTGGTCGGTGAGGTCGCTCTTTCGCGAAAGTCTACTTCGCTCAAGTACCGATTTGGCGAATCATTGCCACTAAACAATAGAGAGTCCCAGCACCGCCGGTACCTCGCTGGAGAAGTCGAAGGCAACCTTCTCGCATCAAAAGCGTGCCATCCTCGACGGAGTGCACATAAACGTAGAGAATGCCGTCCACCGCTGGCGTCCTCCGCGGGGCTGTCGAAGCTGTCAACACGGTCCGCACCTAGCAGGATCTTTTTTCGATCCTGCTACGTACGAATCCGTACGTAGCAGGAGCCGTACGGATCCAATCTGTACGGCTACAATCTAGCAGAGGACGCGTACAAGGAAGCCTCGACCGCTTTCTGCAAGCTCGATAAACATGTGCCCGTGACAACCTGTGTTATCTTTTTTTCCATGTTATTTGTATGAGTTCATATACAACGAAGCAGTGAATCTAGCAAAGCAATTTCCGATTCCTGTTGACTTCAATATAACCGGTCTTGACAGTATTCATGCAACTGATGCAACCTTCGTTGTACATAATCTGTGACCTGACCGAAGTGCAAAAACTGTAATAATTTTTAAAAGTCTGGGTAGCTGAGAAATTGCCCGACTATAGGCCAACACGCTGTTTACAAACAAGCCCGCGTTCGCCTACACCAGGTGTGGTGCGAGCGTTTCTGCACACATGCGCAGAAACAAGATTCATGTGGAGTGAAGCGTATGAGCATGCGCTGTGCCGACAGCGGCGCCACCGCGGGAGCGTGACATCAGAGCCGCATGTTGGTCTACCTCTATACAACCAAGTTTCCTTCCATCTTCAAGTCGTAACAGAGACAAGGCTACAAGCATGAGCCTCCCACTTTTTAAATCAGGTGGCAGCTACACAAACATCGATGCTGTGAGAACTGCCACAAGAAGCTACGGGCTGAGCTCATAAACTTCAAACCACAAGCTCATCGAGACGAAAGTGGTACTCCAACCTAACAAAAGCAGACACCGAAAAGCAGTGTCTGACGAAATACAAACTCCCATCCCCAGCTTACCTGATTGTTGAAGTGCACGCTCAGCTTATTGGCCTTTATAGGAAGAGGGCAGTTGGACCTAGATGCAAGAAAGTGAGTAAACGGACAGCTCAGTACCTTAGCAGGAACATCAGTGTTGTACACTAGCAATCAAGTGGCAACATGCTGACGAGATAATGAGCAGGATGTAGATGGGTTTTACCGCAGAATATGTTTTAGGGCTAATTTCCAAGCCTAAAACGTCAGAAAACATTATAACGAAAATACAATGAGATGGGCAGTTATCTTTACAAAAGACTGTCCCCTTGTCAGGAATCGAACCAGTCAATAGTCTAATACTCTATATCCAGCGCGAGCGGAACTTTTTTTCTTCGTCCTTTAAACATGGAAATGTTAGCGGAGAGGATTTGATTAGCCTTGTTATCACAGCTATATATGCACTAGTGTTGCCACAAAAAATTTTTCCCCTCAAGGTGGGAGGAGCTCAAAACCATGCTACACATTTTCTGCCTCCCAACTTTATACGTAGGAGGCAAGATGCATTTTTACTTTGATGCAACAGACATGCTATAGTGACTAGACGAGCATAGATATCCTGGGGTTGAACAGAATGCATTGGTGAATTGCAATGCGGCTTATCGGTCAGCGGCAGGAGAGGGCATCACCTCAAGTAGACCTTGAGGCCCACCCGCTGATCAGCGAAGAAAGCGTGATGCGTGAACTGGACCTTGCACTCAACTGAAAGGAAAAATAATAGTGTTAGGCGAATATTCGGCCAGTAGTTCCGAATAACAGGCTTTTCGATATTCACTTCGAGGTGAACTGCGGTAGCCATACTTTTCGAAATGTTCATCGTGGTGGGTTAGTCTCGTTGAGTGCGCTTCCCACAGAGCGTCTGTGCACTGCAGGAAAGCAATGCTCGCAGGCTTTGCAGGTATTGCTTCCCCACAGTGCACAGGCACTCTGTCAGAGGCACACTCAACAGGGATAACCCGCCGCGATTAGGCAAATGTTATGTTAGGCAGCAATGTCTTGACAAGCCCGTCTTCATCATTCATGCATTTATTTTTGGGTCAAATTTGAAATAGAAAAAAAAGATTTGCATTTAGCAAGCACATTTATAGATACCCTCATTAGGATAGCTGCAACAAATCTGATGTTTACCTGCCACGGTTCATATAGTAATATTAAAATTAACTGAGCTTAGAAGTGGAAAAACGGAAAGTTGGGAACAACCTTCACAAGTTAAGCTGAATTTTCGTTTTAGCATGGTGCTTGGTAGTGAAATGCTTATAAAAAACTACTTGATATTCAAATCAGAAATGTTCAACCAAAACTGCTATTCGCTTCAAATCCACTTCCAACTCAAAATGCACTAATCGCACATGACTAGATCATAACCTAATACCATAAGTGTTCCTGCGGGTACAAACTGCTTGTGCTGCGAGTCCACAATGGCTGCTTTGATGCTGCCTTTCAAACGTCTGCCGTCCTCACAAAGTGCAGTTATGATGGTTTCATACACAAGCCCACAAGAAACAAAGACAGGTCACCAGACAGACTGCACAAGTGAGTGTTTTAATATTTCAACTTTCAAGATAAATTTTCTATAAACTGCAGCAAAGTGGTGTTGCATACCATTCATACAAGTTTAAAATGAGGAACTCTCCGAGATCAGAAATATGCAATTAAAAGGTACCATATTTTCTCTAGTAATAGCCACACTACTTATGAACAAAGCCCTTGCGTTTACTTTCCCACAGAACACATATACAGCCAATCATTGAGTTGCGCATAAAAAACGTAGCGAATAACCAGATTGAGAACATGATTCTCCATTCAAATGCAATCTTCACAAATGGTATCTTTCCACGAAGACGTTATCTCTGTCCCGTAAACAGCTGGGGTCATGCTGTCGATCACGGTGATTGGCAATCTGCGTGCTTCGCAGAAAAGCAAACCCCCAGGTTTTCTTCATAAACAGTGTGACTATTACTCAAGTAAATACGGTATTTTCTTTTTTTTTTAAATACTCTTGCTCTTGCAATGTGGAGATCTACCTGGCAAGCAGACAGTATTGACAGGGGGCAATAGCCAAGTCTGTTGTTGCAGAATGTGTAATGATGGCAAAGGTTCACAACACTTTAGCAAAAAGCATTTCGCATCATCAAAATTGTCGCTCTTGAGACAATTAGTGGAGGCTTGTTCTGAGTCCGTACTGTGAAAAACATACTCAAATATGAAGTCCAACAAATATCAGGCAAGCAGAGCGAGAAATCACTTCCTATATTAACTAAGATAATACAGTACAATATAGTATACAGTATAATACGGTACAGTACAATACAGATAATACATACCGCATACAACGTATGTCGCGGGAGTCGCAAAAATCCGCACTATAAGCGGTACCGCGCTATAACCAAAACATCAATTTTTCAGGCCAAAATACATGCCATCAGACAACTTACCTTTGTAAAAGAATTTATTTTATGTTAGATGAAAAATAAAGCTTAGTTTGAGGAGAGTCTTTATTTCACCCGACTAGTACACTTCTCTCTCAAGTGTGTCACACATTTTGAAAGAAATGAGCGACTTTTGCCTGGAGCAGCCTTTTAATGGCGTCGCGGGTTGTGGACGGACGTTGCGAGTGTTCAGGATTGCTAACCCTAATCACTTTTCTCCGGCGATGAAAACGCGTGAAAATTCGCATCCTTTATACGGTACGCGCCAGTAATACCTTCAACTTGAGCACAGGCATGAAATGCTCCAAATAAGAAATCCGGGCGATGTTCGAAAACACAAATGCTTAGAAAGCACCACTGTAGTCGAAGTAAACAAACACGACGACACGGGCGTTTCTGTCGTCTTGAGAGTGCCGCCACGACATCGCCGCACGAGTAGATGGATCTTCCCTTCTAGTACGTGCTGGGTTATCATAGCGACACACAACGAAAATTCACAGTCAAGGATAGCGCTTCTACGCGGAACGATGAGCTTCCACCACGCCGCATACGTCGACAATCACAACAGACGCCATGTCTGCGGATAGAAGAAGCCAGCCTGCGACCGGCATGCAACGCGCGCCAACACTTCTCCTCGACCCGCGATTGGTCTGTCGTTGCGGTTGTTTCCAACGCAGCGGAGGGACGCACGCACGTGAACGACACGTGCGTGCGTCCCTGAAGCCTCTCTTTTCGCTTTTCCCCGCTTCTTCAAGCAACCTCCTTGCCCCGCGAGTGCCGCTTGCGGCTAGCACTGTTATCTCGTGTCGCACAGGGGAGCGTGCTCGCTGCACCGGTCAGTCGGCGGGCTGTTCCAGAAACTGCACTATAACCGGTATTTCCCTTCGCGCGCCTGCATTTTAAGCGGTATGTAATTACATGGAGTTCTATGGGAGGCGAAACGGTAGTTTAAAAAAGCCGCGTTATACCCGGTCCTGCACTATAAGCGGTTACGTTGTAAGTGGTCTATACTGTAATGTTATTCAACATTACAGCACGTCAGAAGGAAAATACACTTACGGACACAGGCACACTAAAAAATAACAAACAAAACAATGTTAAATTGTTAAAGGGGCGGTGCAACAGTTTGCGGACTTTGGCTAATTAATTGCGGGAATTGATCCCGGCCACATATGAAACGAAGGACCGAAAACCATTGTTTCCTACTTGCCATAGTTTTCATTAAAAAAAAAGAAAAAAATTGGTATCTCCGGCACCCCTCAACTCAACATTGAAGCGGCACCAGCTTCGCCTGTGACGTCATTTGGAGTGGCGTTGGTTTCCGGTTGGGTTCTTCTGGCTTCCGTTTCCCCAACGCTCGCCGGCTCACCAGGCTCGCCGCTCTCCCGCCGATTCCCGACCAACATGGCGGCATGGGCGGACAGCCTGAGCGACGTCGAGCGCAAGATGCTTGCGACGCGGCGGGCAGTCGAAGTCGAAGTCGAGGTCGAGACACCAGGAACAATAACGATACCACGATACTACAGACCACGACCAACGCACTCCGTCGAGCGAGGGAAAGACAAAACGTCCGGGTTGCTCGTGTAGCCGCCGTAGGCGCCTCGGGCGTCGACGGATGACGGCGACGGCCGGTTTGGTTGACTTGCGGTAGATGGCGCCACAAATAATTCATACCCTTTTAGCGGCAATATTAGGCTTTTGAAGCGTTTCTGCATGCCTAAACAACAAGATTTTTTAAAACTTAACCTTAAATCAAGCTTAGAAATGCCTAACACTATCACTTACAAAAACCACTCCGAATGACGTCACACCACAGGTTCCATTTGCGGTCACCATGTGGCCGCAGGTTGGGAAAAAAAGTGTTTTTTATTTTGCGATTACGCAGCGAAATAGAGGTATTTTGGGGTATGGTGGCACTTTTTCTCTTACTTATGCCGAAGTAAAAGATATAAAAAATACAAGCTGCACATTCGTTCAGTGTTAAAATCATTGCACTGCCCCTTTAAATAACATGAACCACCAAGTTGCCCAGTCAGCAGTCTTATCATAATAAGCCATTTAATTCAAATAAAGACAGATTTCTTCATTACAAAATGTTGCATCCAGGTGAAATGACCGTTGCTGATATATATTGAGTTTTTGAACCCTAGTCTCATCCTCTACCACAGAACAACACATCTTGCAGAACATACCATCCTCCAATGGCCATCAAACTGAAGGTCGAGTAGCCTTCGTTAGAGGAAAAAGTACATTATATTTCTAGTACAAATCTGCTCAAATAGAAATATTTCGCCTGTTCAAATTCAGTTTTCAGCTTCTTTATCTCTATGTGGCTCTGCTAAATTATGAAATGCCACTCTAACAATCTGAAGAGGTGCACTATGGCTTATCCAAAACCTGCAAACACTTCCTTTAGTACATGCTGTCGATGCTTCAGTTTGGTACACAGTGCCCAAGTGAAAAAATACAAGCTGCCACCAGATCAAGAAGGGTGCACAGCTAAAGAATGGAGAAAACTAAAGGTCCCCAGAAAAAAACTCACCAGACTGAATGATGTGGTCCATGTCCAAATTCTGCAGAGGTTCCTTGGCTCGAGCAGCCAGTGCCGTTTTCCAGGCAGCATCGGCAAGGCTGACATTCGCCTCCGACATTCCCGGGAAAGCGACAGGAGGATTGCCCTGCACCCCAGAAATATAACACGAAGATGTGTTATGTGATGTCGCCTGTGCATTTCTTTCATACCATTCTCATACCACAGAGCGTCCTAAGTGTGAGGCCATACCCTAATTGAAGACAATGTTAATCACTCATCAATATTTTGTTTGCATCTACTGAAAAAAAGCCCACCCATATTTGGTCAAAAATCGGGTGCGACAGAGGTATGAGCACTTGCTCAATACAAAAAAAGAAAAAGAAAAAAATGTCCAATTAAAATTTTACGATACACTTGCCAAACTTGTTCCTCAAAAAAAGCAGCGAAAACAAGCTGCAATATTTACAGGGATCCCTCATAAACCCAAGATTGATTACATAGAAATCCTTTTGCACCACAACAACACTGAAACTTTAGGAAGTTAACACAAAACACAAAAAAAAAAAATTGCTCCAAACACTGAAAAATACCGTATTTACTCGCATAATAAACGCACGCACCCCCCGCCCCCAACGAGCATCAATATTTTGAATTTTTTTTTTTACCTCCCGTAGTCAACGCACCTCCAATTTTCGGATCCACAAGTCTCGAATTGCATGCAATTTTGTAAGCCACCAAGTGGTCAGGCCAAGTCAAGCCAAGTCAACCCAAGCCACGCTGCTCACGTAATGGCTGCAAATGCGTAGTTGCTTGGTAGTTGCAGCAGTTACGGAAGTGATCAACCGTGAAACCAAGTGTTACAAACACTTGACGAAGCTTGGGTCGAGGAATCGTCGAGCCCCGGACATTCTTTGCCAATCGGATCCATTGACGTCAACAAACAAGCCATCGTCTGTGGTCCACTTTCGAACAGTAAAATCATGAAAGTAGTTGGGCCTAATTTCACATACTTCGATTAAATGTGTTTATTTAATCCACAACAAAACGGCACGGCGAGGTGCAGGAGGTGTACGCTGCGCTGCAGGCTGAGTGTGTCTGGTAGCTTCTCCGTGAACGAAACTTTAACCGTGGGAACAGGCTTCGGCGGTTGGACTTCATATCAGCTCTTGTCTTCGTTAACGAAACTTGATCCATCCTAACGGGCTTTGGCAGTCGGGGGTAGGACTTCGTACGAGTTCTTGTACGCGTAGTCGCAGACTATACCTGAGCATGCCCGCCGATACTAGCAATATATATCCCCCAAGAACAGTCGTGTTGCTTTTCGTGCTGATTGAGCTTCTTAGGGCGCTTTTCCTTCGGCAAAAGGCACCCCGAAAGTGTCCTAAAAAAGTTTGCAACTTATAAAGAATGGTTATTGTGGCGCGCCCCCGACAAGCCGTGGGTGCGCCTCCATCACTGGACACGTGCCACAGTACCTTGCCATGTCATTGTGGCACCTAATATGACATTTGCACAAAGTGTGTAAATGCAAAAATTTTACCCCGTGAATGAACGTCCCCCCAAATATGGGTCAATTTTTCGGAAAAAAAAGTGCTCTCATTATGCAAGTAAATACAGTACATTAAACTAAATACTCAAAGAAAAAGAGAGCCCAACAACATAATAAGAATAGTATATATATGTATATTGTGTAACCACAGACAATGTTGCTTGCACAACGAATACGCATCAGCACATCAAGGGTATGTGCACTTTTTTTCTCTTTTCTCCGAGGCATGTTTCAAGGAGTGTAAAAGGAAAAAAAAGAGGGCATGGGCCCCAGAAAGAAAGTAACAGCTGGATTTTTTCGTCTCTTGTAGACTTCTGCGGGAGTAAACATGTTAATATTTCGGCTCATGGCAGCTCTCATGGGAGAGAAGGCATTCCATGTATAGTACATGAAAAGTCTTAGGAATCCAATAATGATAGTGGGTGCTTGTAAGAACATGCAAACGTCCTCCATATCTTATGGTGTACAGCAGTGGTTCTCAACCATTGATGTGTCAGGGACCCCTTGGGGACCCGTCATCAATAAATAAACAAATAAAAAGGGAAGGGGGACCACCCCCTGCCACTGGGGAAGGGGAAGGCAGGGCATATAAAATAAGACAACTAATTGCAGTGTGATAATGTCATCCTTTACCATTACAAAAAGACAGGAGTGAGAAGCATCAAGTAAAAGGATTGATGGATGAATAGATGGTAAGGAGTGTAGCCTTTAAAACGGGCGGTACCTTGCGCCACCTAGCCAGGGTCAAAAAAGAAAAAGGATATTCATAAAAAGAGGGACGAGGTGGGGTGGGGGGGGGGGGGGGGTTGAGGTGAGGGCTTTGCATACTATGATGGGTCTGCGCATTTGAGAACCACTGGTGTACAACATAAACAAAAACACAGGGAATCATCACTTTTGCACTACAGTTTCTGATTGCATCGCAGGAATAATTTCTTGCTCTATGGAAATATTCTATTGAAGAAAAGTGCAAGGACAAACCTCAACAACATTGAACACACTTGTTTGAACAGAGCTCTTTTCCTCTTGAGAACCCTGTATCCCTGAGGAACTCTGTGAAGGAATATGGGCAACCTAACCACACAGGCTCATACCATGCATAAAATGACGCATCTTACTTTTAAATTCAGAGGGATCTTTCTGTTATCTCACACAATATCCAAAAAAGTCATTGCATCCATTTCTTTCTGAAATCTTCCTCCAACCTGTGACCTTTGGGAATCCTAGCCAACTACTCTAAAATCAGCAGTTTATTCAGACAAGATAATAACAAAAACAATATAAGACTAAAAACCACATAGGTACTAAAGTAGAACCCTGTTGATACACTCTCGGTCAATACCTTTTCCCAGCTGTTACATTGACAGACACCAGTCCCGTTGATTACCCAGAGATAGGCATATTAATTTCCTGCTTTGTTTCTTTTCGCCTTCCCAGCTGTTAGGTCCACAAACTGCCATCTTACACAGCCGGCACGATGCGCTTGGTCGCCCAAGCGCTGCCCTCTTCGTTTTTCACCACTCCCCTCCTTTTTCGCTTCTTGAACTTTTTGTGCATTGTTCTTTCTCAGCAGGCATGAAAATCAACTGAGCTTGGAAGAGCTCACTTGATTTTGAATGGGCTTTTGCAAAAGCCCATTCATCTTTCCACGCCTTTCTCCAATGCACGCCCGTGCTACTGCTGGGCTTGTTGGCTCGGTTTCCCCGGTTGCGCTAGTTTCGTTTTGCGTGAAGTTAGGAGTTCATAAGCATGCACTGTGTGCAGCACACTCATGATACATACGCGTAAAATTTCACTGCTTCGCAACGCGTGCAAGGAGCAACGGCTGTTGTGATGTGGCATCTAAATTGGTTCGATGGGCTCGAAAATTTCGCTCTCGTGTAGACTGACGTTGTCTGGTTGCAATTATATACTAGATTAAATCCCAAATTTCAAAAACATTTCCGAAATTTTTTTTTTTCCTGTATTTGAATAAATGTGGCAGTCCTCTACAGCTGTCAAAGTTCACAAGGACTAGAATGATGTGAAAGAGTTGTATTTGTCTCATCTATTGGCCTTCCAAAGCATTATTGATTGTTATGTTTTCCCGGATCATACATTGATTCTATTGCCATCCCCTGAAGAATGTATGAACAACATCCAACTGTAATTGACTGAACGTTATGTGTTTTTTGGAAGCTACCGATCACCAGAAACCCTAATGGCACACAAGGCATTCCCGTGACGTCGTCCTTGGCTGAATGTTACCCAACCTCGGAGCAAACCTAACACACCCTGAAATCCACCGGGTCCCGAAATTGTGCCCCATGTTTTAACCGATTCCCGAGGCCACCCCAGAAACGTCCCGCTCCGAGGTGCTGCAAAGGATACAGCTGGAGACGAACTCGAGGCCCAGCATGAGGAATGCTGGCACGCTGGCCGACAGATAGGCGCACTTGAGAGCCGTCGTCAAGATGTTGGACACCAGGGGTCGCCACCGCTCAGACCGGTAGTCCCACAGCACGTGGGTGAGGATGCTAAAAAAAAACACAGGGTGTCAGTCATTTGTTCCACAGCCCCTATTCTAAAGAAATTATCTATATTACACTTCAAAAGGTGCAGCCAATGAAAGTAGCCCATGACACCAATTAAAAGGCGTTCAAAGGGCAGTGCCATAGCACTTGCCATCTTTCTGTGGGCGTGTCATTGCAGACCAACCCGATCAAATGCAAAAAGTGTGTATAGTGACCTCACATTTTTAGTCTGCATGACTTCTAGCCTTTGACTACACTCTGACTTAAAAAGCCCCTGAAAATAAAAAGCTTTTTTTTTTTTTAACAGTTTGGTTGGGACACACACATCAAAAAATAAATTTTGTGCAAAACATATTTTAAAGCAATATTGACATCAAGAGATTTATTTGAAATTCTGCACACAAAGTCCATGACGTCACGGAATGGTTATTTGCACGAGATGGTAATTCACTCTTTCCACCTCAACCTGAAGGAGATGCTCATCCACCTCTCCTCCATGCGCCCGAAATGCAGAGAGAAAACAAGTGGAAAGGAAGTGACTATCAACCAAATTGCGTCTCACGCCGCCAATATTGCTCTAAAAATGTTTTTTTGTGTAAAATTAATTTTTAGACACCTGTGTCCCAACTAAACTGTTAAAAAAAAAAAAAAATTTCTTTCTTTTCAGGGGCTTTTTAAGGGAGAAGTGTAGTGGTCACGTATCTAATTTTCTATATGAATACACCGTAAAAAAAGTCACCTATTACAAGAAACAGTGATAGCAGATGCCATGCCACACTAATGCATTTCTGAAAGGCTTCATGGGCATTGTTTGTACTAGAAAAAATACTTGAAAAATCACTAACTAGAAAGCCCAGTGACGTAATGTACAGTAGGCTCGCGATAATTCAAACTCTGATATTTCATACTTCCGGTTAATTCAAACAGATCTCAAAATTTTGGTTGTCCCGCTATGTTTTTAATGTATTTATAAGCCGCTTAATTCGAACGACGTTTTCGCTTAATTCATACTTTTTTGTTCTCGCGGCCCCGTTGAGTGCGCTTCTTTCCAAGCACCGGTGCACCGCAGAGAAGCAATACCCGCGGAGCTTGTTTTTGCGAGTGTTGCTTCTCCGCAGTGCACCGGTGCTCGGAAAGAAGCGCACTCAACGGGACTCAAGCGGGCACACAGCGGAAAACAGCGTTCACATTATGTGCTTCAAGACTAGCAATGATGACCAAGACGACATCGAGGATGAGGAACAGCTCACTGGCATCATGCTTTCTGGCCTTGAAGCACATAATGTGAACACCGAGCTGGCGGAATATGCTAGTCTTGACGACGATGTCTGTGTTTGTCGTGATGACTCATTAGAGGACATAAGGAAGTAATGCCAGCACAGTGCAGCAGTGAGAGTGAAGATGACGAAGAAAGGAAGGACCCACTACTAACTGTCACAGCCGCAGATGCCTTTGAGCACAACGCTCAGCTTTGGAAGTTTCTGTCTGCAAAGGAAGAGCCCCCTAAAGAGCTACTTGCGTTGGCTGGTATTGAAATTTTTGTTTTGAGATCTCATGTACTGACTAAACAGTCCACAATTGACAACTTTTTTGTCGGATGAATAAACTTAACGTCACAGCTCTTTCACCAATGTGTTATGCCTGTACTTGCTTATAATTAGGCCTATGTAGAGGAAACTGGCCAAAAATCTGCTTTGTATGTGTAGCTATCCATGTAACAAATCATAATGTTGTCTAGTATCATATTTAGATGAATTTCTGATAATTTAAACTTCTGGTAATTCAAACTAAAATCTGTGACTTCCTGGAGTTTGAATTAATGAGTGTCTACTGTATAAAGAGAATATCACAGCTGGTTACCTGAGTGCCTTATCATATTCTTCATTGGCATAGTACTCCTCAGCAATCTGGACCACTGTTGGGGAGGGGTAAGAGTTAGACATAATTCTGTTTTATTTCATTAACAACTATGTCGATTGGTATGCCACTAGGAACTACAGGGCTTTTTCTCGTCCAAAACTAAACTGTGCTAACCAGTTTGAAAAAGTTTCTCAGTGTTCAATTTAGTACTACAGTGAAGACCGCATATAACGTATGTTGCGGGAGTCGCGAAAATCCACACTATAAGCGGTACCGCGCTATAACCAAAACATCAATTTTTCAGGCCAAAATACATGCCACGAGACAACTTACCTTTGTAAAAAAAAATTTATTTTATGTTAGATGAAAAATAAAGCTTAGTTTGAGGAAAGTCTTTATTTCACCAGACTAGCACACTTCTCTCTCAAGTGTGTCACACATTTTGAAAGAAATGAGCAACTTCTGCCTGGCGCAGCCTTTTAACGGCGTAGCGGGCTGCGGACGGACGTTGCGAGCGTTCAGGATTGCTAACCCTAATCACTTTTCTCCGGCGATGAAAACGCGTGAAAATTCGCATCCCTTTTACGGTATGCGCCGGTAATACCTTCAACATGAGCACAGGGATGAAATGCTCCAAATAAGAAATCCAGGCGATGTTTGAAAACACAAATGCTTAGAAAGCACTACTGTAGTCGAAGTAAACAAACACGACGACACGAGCGTTTCTGCAGTCTTGAATGCCGCTGACATCGCCGCACAAATAGGTGGATCTTCCCTTCTAGTACGTGCTGGGTTATCATAGCGACACACAACGAAAATTCAGTCAAGGGTAGCGCTTTTCAGTAAAGGGAACGATGAGCGTCCACCACACCGTCTACGTCGACGATCACAACCGTCGCCATGTTTGCAGATAGAAGCAGCCGGCCCGCGACCAACATGCAACGCGCGCGAACACGTCTCCTCGACCTGCGATTGGTCTGTCGTTGCAGTTGTTTCCAACGCACAGAGCGGAGGGACGCACAGCACGCATGTGAACGACACGTGCGTGCATCCCTCCATTGCTATGGCAACTGAAGCCTCTCTCTTCGCTTCTCCCCGCTTCTTCGAGCAACCTCCTTGCCCCGCGAGTGCCGCTTGCGGCTAGCGCCGTTATCTAGTGTCGCACAGGGAAACGTGCTCAACGCGGGGAGGAAATGGCCGAGTGGGCTAACGCGTCTCAGCTCGGAGCGTGGAGCGAAAGCTTGCGTGGGAAACTCCTGGGTTCGAGTCCCCGCCGCCCCCGCCCGTTTCGATCTGGATGAGTTTCGTACCGGCACGCGTTCGTGTGATCACTACTGCGTGATGCACGTTAAAAATCTCAGGTTAGCGGTTGTGACTGCCCTGGCTAAATTTCTCATCTACAGCTAAGAAACCGATTACCCATTGTGGCGCATCTCCATCAAGGCTGTATAAACATACAGAGCAAACCAATTTCTTTTTTTGCTCAATGCGTTGGTCGGTCGGCGCAACCGGCGGGCTGTTCCAGAAACCGCACTATAACAGGTATTTCCCTTCGTGCGCCTGCATTTTAGGCGGTATGTAATTACATAGAGTTCCATGGGAGGCGAACCAGTGGTTTAAAAAAGCCGCATTATACCCGGTCCTGCACTATAAGTGGTTACATTGTAAGTGGTCTATACTGTATTTGCATGAATGCAGTGAACATAAATAGATGAAAAAAAAATAGTACTAATTTCTTACTGCTACGGTACTGTTGTTGTTCACAGTAATGGTCCTACAGAAGAAGAAAAAAACCACTTGCAACATATATTAGAAAAAAGTATAAACAAAAAGAAAAGAAAACAAGGCATGAAACTGAAAATGAACTTCCTCCTGGGAAGGGTGGAAAACTGTCACAACGTTAGCAGAACAAGTACAATGTGTGAAATAGTTCCCGAAAATTTGACATTGGCATTTTTCCAGATATAGATTAATGTTAAATGCTACATTTTACTGCCAACAGTTGGCAAACACATAAGCACATCCCACTGTGATGTGAGTAATCTTGATGACTTTTTTTCAATCTGCAAGAGAAAAACAGAAAATATTGCAGATTGCAAGTCTATGAAAACCATAGTTACTCGATAGAAATAAATAAATCAACAAACAAAATGATAGAAAAATATATTCCTGCAATTTCAGAGGTAGACGGTGTACTTTTCTGGAAAACAAAAAAAACTTAATTATAGAAACCCGAATTTGAAGGTTTTACGTGCCAAACCAACTAAGGGCATTTGGAATGCCCCAGTGGAAGACTATTATATTGACCACCTGAGGATCTTTTGATGCGCAAACGATATCTTGATCGCACGGCGCCTTCTCCGCAATAAGCCTCTGTCAGACTGCAGGCGCCTCGACCGGGGTTCGAGCTTGCCGCCTAGGGATGTGTAGGCCAGCGCTTTACCTCGAAGCCATTGAGGTGGCTAGCTGATCATCAAGAGTTTAAAAATTAACGAAGGGGAAAGGACAAAATGTGGCTGATGAGGTTAACCATCTCTAGAGAGGCGGTCGACCGAGCACACTCACTGAGGTGGCGTTTCATGCGTGGGCAGCGGTACTTCTTGAACTGGGCCACTGCGCTGCTCAACAGGGGGACCACCAGACTCTGCACACATAAACAGGTGCCCCAACATCAGTTCACGAAGCATGTTGCAACATTCAAGTTTCTTTTCCCAGACATTGTACAGGGAGCGGAAAAATGAGCCGCCCCAGCGGGCAGGTTATAGTGTTAAAAAAAAAAGGCTGGAATGTGGACTGTCACATCTCCTTTTGTCAAAATGTGGCAGCCAGTTATGTGGCTTAGCATGCGGGAGGCACCCAATGCAGCATTTTACCTCTGTTGGCTAGCGCCGGTCTGAGACGGCTCATGTTCCTGGACACATTACCTTCACATTGCAAAGCAAATCCAAAAGCGTGTGCAAGCAGTTGAGGGGTGCTGCCATACTCACAGAATGATTGACTGTTGTTTTTTCCACATACTGGAGTGCTTGAATGCCCAGCTCCTCCGTCTGGGGACTTAAGGTTTCTCCTTTGACTTTAGAGAAATAAAAGGAAGGCAACTATGAGTTCTTTTCAATTTCCTCACACACCCATAAATGAGTTTGGAAAGAACAGCGGCACACCAAGATGCAATGTTGCTGCATGTCAAGGGGCAATTTCAAAAGTAACCAATGAAGGCAACATTTCATATTTTTTTTTCCCCTCACCAAGTGCACTGGCTTGCCAGGGTCGCTGTCCATAGAACTCCATAGAATCTGAACCCTTCAGAATGTTGGCATCTGGACAGGCTGTCACGTCCTGAAAAACAAGACAAAAAAGCAAGCTGAACCGAGAGCTAGTGAAAATAATCAATAAAAAAAGTCTCCAATATAATTAGAATATGCAGTTTAATAAAAGCTTCCACTGAGGTAATCCCCACTTAAATATGATTATCATAGTAGTCCTAATAGTCTCTATTGCTCGTGACCCAAGACCTCCATGCAGTCTGAAGGGTTCTACATCCGAATCTATTCCCCTCATCCCTGTAAATTTACTTGCAGCTGTGAAGGTACCAAAAATACATAGTTCTACACAATATGTTCCAAAATTACACAATTTTAAATGGACGACGAGCAAAACAGTTCAGGACTTATTGACGAAATTTTATAACGACACGACTTCAAATAGTATAGTACAAATTAAGATAGCCAGCTTGACGTAGCTGCTTTACCTAAACTAGCATAACATCACAATAAACATGTTCATCCTCCTCTGCAAGAACATCCGAATGAAAAATCACAACAGAGTGAATGGATAAAAAAGCCAGTCATTTAGCACAGATGCAACTGAACAAAGTTTTTGCAGTCGGCTAGAATACGCTTGACACTCGGTTTGCCAGCTCTCGAGTCCTCAACTCTCAACCAAGAAGAAGGAGCATTCAACCTGGCAGAGCTTGAGCGCCTGTTCCTTCCTGGCAAGCGCGTGATTGGCTGCCTGCTGGTAGTAGAAGCCCGGGTGCTGCGTCTGAATGGCCGTTAGCCCCAACCGCACAGCATCCTCAAACAAGTCCCCGAACTGGCTGAACCTGGGCAGAAAGTTGTGAAAGTGGCCAGCTGAACAGAACAGAAGAAAATACATTCACAAAAAACTTTCCCTTTCACATTACTTGTAAAAGGCCACTTTTAAAAGAGGGCACCCGGCATCGCTCAGTTTACTGGTGGACGGGGACAAAGGGAAGGTCTGTACAGTCAAATCTCGTTAATGCTAACTCTAGGGGGACCGAATATTTGTTTGAATAAAGCACAGTTTGAATTATCAGGAGTTTCCTCCCATAGAGACGCATAGGATGGGACCTGCATGTTACTTTGAATTATCTGCGAGTTTGAATTAAGGGAGTTTGAATTAATGAGAGTTAACTGTATCACACTCACACAGAGCCGTATAATGGGAGAGTTTGACCAGCTTATGATCTCAGCGCCGTAATGCCCCCCTCCCGAGTGAGCCAATCAGCACGCAGTGCACAGTGAGAGCTACGAGGGTATGTGCGTAAACTCCTGGCTGCTCCCCGTTGCCTGCTCCCAGCTGTGCGGGGAGGGAATGCATGGGATAGACATTCGAATTTCGCTATTTTCCTTTATTTCGCTGGCTCCGGCAAGAAAATGATATACGTGGCTTGCACATGACGTCATTTCCGATGCCCTCCAGAGAAAAAGGGAAGAAGGAGCTCCCCTTTTATCAAGATCCTCCTTTGTGCCTCCCGGATAAGCACAGACGTCGCTGTTCTCCTCCCAGAAGATTATAGAAGATTAACCTGTCACTCAAAATCCTTACAAAAGCAGCTTTCCTCTCCTCCTTTTACATGGTGTTCAAAAGTATGCGATGTGATGTCAGTGCAAGGAGCCTATAGGTAGTGTTATTCCTTGGTGGCTAATGAACAAACTTTTCTTGACGTTTCACCGCAGGCTTTAATTCAGGCGAAAAAGAAGTCGGCCCGTAGCAAACGACGCATAGCCTCAACCGTGCTCTGCGTCGAACGCGTGTTGCGTCAAAATGGCGGTCGTTTCCTCTTTACTCTCTCCTTCGGCACTCTCCCCCCTTTCCCTCACTTTTCTCCTCTCCAGCACCTTCGTCGCCACGGCTACTGGCCAGACTCTCCCAATATACGACGCTGCCCTCACAGACCTTGCAGCAGTGCCCTGGCACAATTATATCTCAACCATGGGTTTCATTTCTGCTTCATATGAGTAATAAGGTAACTAAGTAACTTTGACCTCGGGAGTTACTAGTCCATATTACAAGTGACTCGAAACAGTAAATCGGCTCGTGCAGCTTCGAAGCATGTCCCGTGGCAAATTTCGAGTTATTGCAACATCACAAATACAGAACCAATTCTTGTTTCAGATTTTGTTTTAACATGAACACCGTAATCCAATTTCAGTCAGGGAAAAGCGAGTTGATTTTCAAATGTAATCATCTCACAATTACTATCTAAATCTTGCCAAGAATAAAGGTTCAGCCTCCAGTGCAATGCAACAGTGGCACTAAATAGAGTGTAGAAGGCTGCACAGGCGAAGGCGATCGTGCAACAAACAAGCGAGCCGAAGGGCCTCACTGCTTCGAGAGCCAGGCACTGTGCTCGAAGGCAAGACGAGGCGAGCCCACACGGTCTTTCCACACGTCCACGTGCTTCCGAAACTGGTGGATGGCGTCCAAAGGAATGTTCTGCAGGAAAGCCAGCTGGCAGAGCTGACGAGAAAAAAAAAGCAACGACACAAGGTCTAAATCTCTGCCAGGGCGTCTTTGTCCGACGTCGCAGGAGCATCACGGCATTGGTGGTAGATGTGGCAGAAGCATGGAGGTAGGAATAAGAGGTGGAGCCAGAAGTGTGGAGGGACGCACCCCCGACGATGTCCAAAACCAAGAGATCCTATTGAAAGAAAAGGAGAGCTGACTTTGTGCCGATAGTAGCTGTTTTGGTCACTACTGGACGAAAAGGAGAGCTGTTGGCGTTAGTCGGCTCTCCTTTTCGTCCAACAGCGTCTGTTGGTTTGGGTCATCGTTAAGGGCGTTTCCCAACACACTTCTGGTTTCACCTCTGGTGGAGTCATGTCGCCTCCAGAAGCTTCCTACCTCCATGGGCAGATGCCTGTTCTGCTTCGGGTCCCCCTCCGGTTCAGCAATCCACGGAAGCTTCGGCAGCCAGGAGTTGGGACACCGTGGTGACAGCAATGCCCGCGTTCACTCATACCTTTTTTTTTTTAACTTTTATGCCCAACTGTTAGAATCACAATGTCCGACGGCGTGAAGCTCTGGCTTTTGCAACGTCATTTGTTGCCACCTCAGGACCATTTTTCTACGCTTGGGCAGTATGCGGAGCACAAGTTTGTCTACTTCTTGCACAGGGGTTGCAGCGACGTCAGAATGACGCTGAGCTCTGGTTGGCTCTGATTGAAGGATAGTGGGTAGACCTCAAGGTAGCTAGTAGTAGCTAGCATAGAGGACTATCAACTATCTTTCAATCAGAGCAAATCAGAGCTCAACGTCTTGATGTCACCCAAGCCCCTGCAAAAGCAGCAGACGAACCTGCGCTCCACATAGGACACTAAAACACACCAATTGGAGAAGTGTTCCCTCAGCAGAGCTACTCGGCGAGAGTGATACCAGCCACGCTGAAAGCTAGCTAGGGTGGCTAGAATCACCTTGCCTCGCCCTCGCAGCATTCTCGCCACGAAACAATTCACAAGTTTGAGAACTGTGAAGAAAGGCGAGATTGCTGGGCTCATAGCAACTCGACAGTGGACATGTTAGCTACAACTGAATATAGATTATTCCTGAAACTGTCTGCTTGACGCATTATGACAACCCGACGTGCAGCTCGTAAAAGATTAGCCAGAAATAGAAGCCAATAATTGCATGTATTGGTTTAACATCTTGCAATTTCAGAATGCGTAGAGGGCAGAAGGAAAACAAACAGAGTATGTGATAACCTTGTTTTGTTCTGGTATTATTTTTAGTGCATTCTAACTCGCAACGTGCCGCCTACAGGATATACGAAGTATCAAAGTCAGCCCGTACATGCATCAGGACAGCCCCACAATTCTCCTTACTGTGCATTGCAATGTGGGACAACAGCAAGGCCTCTGGGGATTTTCCAGAAAGGTCTATTGCATTTAATATAGACAGGGCAACAATTTGCTTTTGTTCCTTTACAGGTGGAGCAAAGAAAGTAGAGGAGTGCAGCGATTCGACAGTGCCCAACTGATTTCGTCAATCATGAGCATGACTAATGGGCAGCATGCTCAAATGAAAATGCAATTTAACGGATATAACAAAGAAAACATAATGAAAAGCTCCAAAAATCATCCTGCATAGCAGTACAAAAGACTCCAGTCATGTCAAGTTCCCTCACCTTGTAGTTTAGAAATCCTGCAACAGTCTTCACTTCGAGGACATTCAGGTCTGTAGTTTTCAGCTCCCCAAGGTCATTGTATGCCATCTTGTAGTGCCTACAATTCAACAAGAAAAATGCCCACTTGATACTTCAGGTTTGGTACCACGTCGACAGCGACAAGCCTGAGCCAAATGCTACCTAGCATATCCATTATAGGTTGCAAAGCATGTAGACTTCTGCACTGCTTTGTTACATCGATGCAAGGACTGGGAGGAGTTGCTTGGCTACCAATCAAGAGATATAGGCATTCCTTCAGGTAGAAAATCTTGAGTACCCCAACACAAAGACGCCATAACACATATTCGGAATGCTTTATCGCCCTCAAATATGTGGTTGCAGAGAGGAGTTTGTTGTTGGCCTCTTAACATTTCAGATGGCACAGTTCTATACTGCACCACTTTCAGCAAAAACAGGGTATGTATTACAAAAATGTATGCGAGAAGTGACATGCAAAAATATGTCCGAAGGGTCTCACATAAAATATTCCAGAAATCATCTGCAACATATTACAATCTACAGTAATCTCTTGTTATAACAAAGTCAACGGGATGGCAAAAATTTGATACAAGCAATACTCCAATAAAGGCGAGAGCAAAAAAAAAAAAAAAACAGCATCAGCGGCTTTTAAAGGGACACTGACAGGGTATTTTTGCTCGCCGAGGTTTTAGTTGTGCATAACATATCAGAGACCAACTACCTAGAACAGAACTTTCGGCTCGAAATTCAGTTTATTTTCGCCCGAAAACCACCAATCGAGAACTTGTCGGTGTGAGTCGTGCTCACTCTCTTCTTTGTGGCCACGGGCCGTTTTCTGAGGTTTAGACACAACCATCAAATTTAATCAAAGTCGTGGGTCATTGAAGGTACACACTATATATTAAAAATAGAAAAAATATGGAACACATTTTTTGTGGCTTCGAAAAAGCTGCAAATACGTTGATTGAAAAAAAAAAAAAGTTGCATAGACAACCGGAAGAATTCTGTGCATTTACTGCATAATTCTCAACATGGCGTCGTATCGCGTAATGAGGGACTCGTGGACTGGACGGCGATGGTGGAAATTGACGGGCGTGGGACCTCTACTTCAGAACTGTCGTTTGTGGTGCCGGCGAATCTGTCTTCCTTCGAAGAAGAAATTTTAGACCGATCAAAACAATTAGGATTCATTCCATACGACACGCCCGACCTCCAAGCCAATTTGCACGAAAACATCTCCCCTTCTTGTGGCTGAAGACATTGCTCGTCTTACATACACAAACTGGTAAGAGCTTGAAAAATGCACAAACGTCAAGCACAAAGTGCGTACTTCGAGTTCAACATGCATGCATAAGATTTCTTTACTAGGTGCAAATGTGGCCAATCCCTGGTGCTGCCCGACTTCAAGCCTGGGGAGTGCCTTTGCTGCAGAAAAATTGGCAGCAAACTTTCCGACTTACAGTCGACCGGCTGCATTCCTACAAACGAGGAGTTCTTCCTTGTCTGCCTGAACATTACGATGTTAAAACTATCTTACTTCAAGCTCCACGATAGGAAGCTGTCTATACTTCCTATCGGACATCCACAGTCTATGTTGTCAGGAAAAACAATTATTTTATGTTGTAGAGTAGCTCAGTGGAAAGGCGCCCGCTTCATACACAGCAAACCTAGGTTCAATCCCAAATGTGGGCATAAAATTTATTTTTTTGTCTAACATTCTGCGATATTTACATATTTCTTTTTTACAATTATCACTGAAAATAAAAAAGAAAGGTTGTGGACAAAATGTTGCTAAACTAAATACTAGCATGGGACTCCCTTTTTGACAACTGCGAACTCAATGTCGTCACTTTGCACAAAATGCAAGGAGCACATAAATCAGGCACCGTCCACTCTCCGAGGCGCCCGTAACTGTTTTGCTAGAATTGCAGCCAGTCATTGGCCCCGATTCCATTGTACTTTTGGGAACTTGTTCAGACTCTGTCGCACAATACCACTTTTGGATCCAGAACCTGGGAGGCAGCTCCGCCCGCAACATCTTGGGAGCATTCTTTTCGCAGCTGATCAAGGGCCTTCACTGCTCATTTCAGACTCTTCAATGTAAAAAACAAATCTTGAAGTGCAGAACAATGAGCGGAACAAACATTACTGCGCAGCAATCACACAACAAACGGTGCCCACGTTGTCTGCTGCGCTCATCAAAAGAAAAAAAAAATGGAGAAAAAAAAAAGGAAGCGCGTTAGGCATAGCGAAGTGACTTCGGGCACCCTCTCCTTCTCTATATTTTTTCCGACCTCCGTGCGCAGGTTTCGGTTTCAAGCAGTTGCGTTTCTGGGCCTTATTAAAAATATATATGACCCTGTAGCAAAATATTAATTGGATAGTCTTCTGACACCATACTAAATCGCCTGGCAAAAAATTAAATTTTGTTTTAATCAGGGTGTCAAACCGGAACCGAGCCGAAAACCGGAACCGAATCGGTATTTTTTCCGGAACTGAACCCGAACCCGAACCGTTATATTATTATTGCGATGAACCCGAACCGGAACTGAACCGGAAAAAAAATAACGGTTACCGGCTCATGTCAAAACGGTTCGGCCACGTGCTGTTGACAATGAATGTGCTATCAATGCCATTTGTTTTTTAAGTGCCGTCAACTGACACACACCTCGCTTACATATTTTTCTTCTCCACTCAGTCTTAGGAATATAAACGCTGCATCCATGAATCTTGACAAATGCTGCATCCATGAATCCTGACATAGGAAGCAGTATTGCGCGGGTCGCGGCTTGCACGGAAAAAAAAGAATTGGAAGGCTGTGCAAAAAAAAAAAATCGCGTCACGGGATTTCATTTTTCTACAATCTCGTAAATCCTAAATGCTGCTGTGTGCTCATTTCATAACACGTTTCTAGAACGCGCGAGTTCTTGAAGCTTGCTTCCATCGGAATGAGAAAAGAAAAGGCTATGGAGTTTGATAATAATGCATCCGGTTTCGTATGGGCACTTAGAAGCTAACATATTTGTGAGACAGCGAACTCTTCTATTTTAATATTTATCCTATTACGTCCTTCTGGCGTTGCGTTCGGTGAAGTGTTTTCCATATTCCGTATCTTGTTTAATGAAAACTTCTTTAAGGGTCTAATTTGAGTTACCGAAGGCTAGTTCAAATAAAGAAAGCTGTATTTTCTCCCCACTGTTCCTTCAATTGCTTACACGCCGAGGTGGCGGGATAGTTAGCGAGTTCTACTTGTAGGTGGGTTTGTAAGGAGGTCGCGGATTTTACAGCTACTGCGTCGGACCCAATTAGATGAAGTCCGAATGCGTAAACGTCGGTGAGGTAACCTTTGAGTGCACATAAAGAAACCATTCCTGGTAGAAATCCCTGAGCCTTACACTACGATGTATCCCGTTTCGTATGTGCCGATTTCAGATGTTTTATTTGTAATTTATTTTGATGTTACAATTTGTCATTTATAATTTCCGAACCGGTTCGCGAACTGGTTCAGCGCCCCGAACCAGTTTGCGGATCGAATTAATTGAACCGGAACTGGACCGGAACAAAATAAATTTACCTGAACCTGAACCGTAACCGAACCCATATTTTTTTTCGAATCGACACACTGGTTTTAATGGGTGTCAGTGTTTCTTTAAGGTGCACGGGAAAACAGTAGAACACTGACCTTCTATTTAAATAAACAAACCTTTGTTATGAACAACTCGCGGCAGCTTTACCAAGGAAAAAAATAATACAGTGGAGCTTGCCGATAATTTTATCCAGGCATCAGTTCTCAAACTGCTGCAGGCATCGCAAGAACGCTGTCACCGCCACTGCACTGCACTTTGTTTCGAAGCAGTCATAGGATGTTTCGCGTCTCCGCAGTTGTCGGTGCTTCCCAAGGTGCCTTTCCGACGTCCCTTCGATTTTACCCTGGCCACACGCAAGGTCTACGATCGCAGCATCCGTGGCAGGAGCAACAACGAGAACGTCCGCATCGACAAGCGCGAACGAATCAAAGTTATCCTCGGTGGCTTAGCCAGCATGTTTGCACACACTCCTGTAGAAATTGTTGGAGCTCTGAGAATTCTGTGCCGGCTCGGCAAGCATCCTTAAAAGAAAAGATCCGACGTGTGCAAAGCACTTGACGATCTTTCATCTTTGGGTAGCAGGCGCACTTTCCCTTGGATAAGAAAGTTCTTGAACTCGTCCATATGCCTTGCTTGTTCTGCGAAATGGTGGACAGTGTTTAACAGTTGATGCCAGAATATCAAACTGTTTGGCGATTTTGGACTTGGGCCAGCCACCTTTCTGAACCTCGCAGATACTTTCGGTAAAAACTGCCACTCTCCCATATAACACATGCGTACACCGCAGGCACTTTGGCCCTGTAGCCGCAACTGCAAATGCACCCTCGGAGGCGCGAGCGTCAAGGGCTCCCAACGGGATGATCTTCTCCGGGCTCTATCGCTCCCTTGACCCAATTCCAAGGGTAGCGTCAGCCGAAGGCGCCGTGAGTAGCGTTGGAATGTGGACGCCGCCCCCACTGCCCCCTGGTTGCGTCGGCTCATCAACATCACAAACGGTGCTCTACCCTTCGTCATCCGTTTCCTTGTTCGCCACTTTTTTCAGTTTGCCGTTTGTCTTGGTGAAAAAGGAGGAGGGAGTGCAAGGGTCCCTGTGCGTCTTCGTGCAGGCTTGCATGCTTTCGGCACTTCGGCCTTCGTAACAAGCATGGTCGGCCGCCAATACACTTTGAATAATCCGGTTCAAAATGCATGGTTTTGAGTAGGGATCACGTTGAACTTCGATAAAAGCGATAACTCGAAAGCAATTTCGTATAATGAAGGATTACTACGGTGCATGATTATTACATGAATTACAATATCTTTCACAAAGGCGTGTGCTTCAACCATATCAAGCAGAAACTGACCTGATGGCAACTCCTGGGTCCTGCTTGAGCTCGTGAAGAAATGCAATTTTGAACTGGTGCCGAATGAGCAGTTGCTGGGAAGAAAAGCAACAAAAAAAGTCTGCGGTGAGATCTGTCGACGGGTCTCCTTTGCGGCCGAGGCGCGTAAGAAAAGTCATCCCACCTGATGAGTGTTCTTGTTTGCAAAGTCCTTGTGGGCCTTGACACGCTTGCACTCGTTCAAGTAGTAGCCTTGTGTTATCTCCAGAAACGCATTCTCCAGCCTGGAACGATTGTTGCATTAGGTGAGCTTCCTAGTTTTTAGTACCTACTGTATCTACTCGAGTATTAGCCGCACTCTTTATGAAGGAAACCTGAGGGTTCGCTTTTCCGCGGTGCACGCGGATTGCCAATCACCGCGATCGACGACGTGACTCCAGCGGTTTACAGGACAGAGATAATGTCTTCGCGCGAAGATGCCATCTCTGAAGATTGCATTTGTATCCAGAAGTGTGTTCTCAATCCAATTATTCCCTATGTTACTTATGTGCAAGGCGATGATTGGCTGCATATGTGCTTTGCGGGAAAGTAGAAGCAAGGGCCTTGTTCATAAATAGTGCAGCTACAGTAGAACCTCGTTATAACAAAGTTGAGGGAGCTGTCGTAATTATTTCGTTATAACCATTAGTTTGTTATAGCCAATGTCCATTTCTTCCAACTATTAGCAAGCAAGGGGAATTATGATTCCTTTGTTATATCCATTAGTTCGTTATATCCCATTTTGTTATAACGAGGTTTTACTGTATATTACTCGAGTAAATACGGTATTGAAGAACAGCCAACAAAAATTCCGAGGACACCTAAGCACTTCTTATGAGTTGTGAATGCGAAAGCATGAAAGAAGTTCTCCCGCCCCCTTAGTTCGTCTGCAGTGTGCTGGCGTGGACGGCCACTTTTCATTACTGCCGAGGTTGCAGCCGCCGCCGATATAGATGCCTCAGGCGCCGCCATGTTCTTCGGCGCTAAAAAGAGTAGAAGCGGCTGCAGCGCCCCCCTCTCCCCCCGGCAACAGAGCACGCGCTCTCGTGAAGCGGGCGCCAATGACTATCTGGGAGCCGTTTCGCTCAGCCAATGGGAGAACGGGCATTTCTTTCACGCGCGGTTACAGACGCTGCCGGCTCCGCTCCATGGGATAGTTAATGCTTTTGCATTATATATGCCTATTGCATAATTCTGCCATCGAAGTAGCCCTCCAGAGCTTGGCAGCAGGAATACTGCTTTTTCTACACTGAAAGACCGCCTTCTCCTATATACACCAACGAAGATGCTACAGGGTAAACAGTTCCCTTCATTGAAGTTATCAACTAGTAACTTTCAAGTTGATACAAGGTAGTCGAGATTCCTCGGGTAACATTCCTTCAGCTTACCTGAGTATAAAGCCGAAGAGGTGGTCCGAGTAGGGCAGCACGAAGAGTGCTTTGGGGAGGAGATCGCAGGTGCTGCACAGAGCATGGGCACGCTCTGTAGCCAGCACGTTGTCCCCTGCCATGCCACAGATAGAAAAGACAAGCAGCAATGAACACTCGTTCTGAAGGTTTTTATAGTTCTCATAAAGCAGCTAATGTGTTTACAAATAGCTTGCAAACATATCAATCCCTAAAACTTCATTTTACAGCTTGGTGCACACCACTACCAAAGGAATAAGAGCATATGTCTACCGAATGCATTGTTTGAGCATGCCTCCATGCAAAGAGAGCACTCTCGAAATTTGCCATCCGAGAGAAAAAGCACAGGGACTCGGCGGAGTCCTTCCAGCGTCAACTTACCCACTGGGATGGACGGATTGTTCTGCACAAGCACAAGAGCCACCCTAGTGTTCCTCCCTTGCAGGTTGGCCCTGGAACAGAAAGCTCTGATTAGGGAGTAGATCAAACAGCTTCAGTGAAGGATTGTATCGTCAAGTCGGCTGCAGTAGTCACATTTGTCTCTGCTGTGAAACTCTTTCATATTACTTCTCCATTGAAACAAGCCTGTCTTCAGTTACAAACGCTTTTCGTACACACGTCCAAGTGGTAAATATGGCGTACGACTGTGAACACGTCGTACATTCCGGCATGACACCGAGGAGTATGAGCTAGTGTCAGCATTCCACCCCATCATCAGCCTACTTGAGCCTGCGCATGAAAAGCGTGCCAAAATTATCTTGCTTTCATTTATTTCAATATGAATAACTTTCAGTACGTGCAGACGCACATCCATCAGCATCATGTTTCAGCGCCAACAGTTTCGGCCGACGCCGAGATTAGGGCTCCTGAGACATATCTTCAACTCATGTGTTTACCATGTCCTCATTTGTGGTCCCTAGATTTCTGCCCGATTATGTCACACTTGTGTCATGCTGGTGCCTGCTGCAATTCTGGCAGTGGCACAGCAGCAGAGCTGCGATACTACGGAAACACTTCATCTCTGTCGGCCGCTCTCCAGCATGGCAGTTGAGAGAAGCTTTGGCAGCCAGGAGTTGGGACCAGAAACACTTGCATTCACTCATCTTTTTTGCCAGAACTTCTACGACCAACCACCAGGATCGCGACATCCTACAGCACAATGCGCTGGTTCATGTGACACAATCTGTTGCCACTTCGGGTTACTTTCGATGTACGAGCGATCTAGGACGCCAGACACACCGGTCGAAGATGCGGTTTAGACACCATATCAAGGCCAGGGTGCCCTTATCACCTGAGAGCCTTGAGCCTGGCGGCGCAGAGGGTGCGCTTGTCAGCCCAGTTCGGGTCGTCCCAGTCCATGTCGAAGAAAAGGATCACCGCTGCAGGGACTTCCACCAGGTGCTTGTGCAGCCAGTTGCTCTTGAGCAGGCCTCGCTCCACATACCATTCGTACGAAGGGTGCTGCGGGACACGCAAACAAAAAACAAAGCGAGATCAACATGCTTAAAAAGACCCATGGCACGGGAGAAATAACATACACTGAAAACAAGGTCCATATTCCTTTCCCTCGTGCATACCCCCTTCCTCCCACCCATTTCAATTCCCCCAACCCAGATGACACAAGTCAAAAGGGCTTGGCGTATCCTGCAAAGTAAGCATTTATTCGGTTCAGGTCTGCGCAACTGTGCATCCTTATGTGCATGCTGTCGTAAAGAGCAAAAGGTAATCATAGGCCAAACAATCAGCTCTTGCAATGTTTTTCTTGCTGCATTACAAGAGAGCTATTGCGACTTCGTGCCTGGAGTCTGAACTGCTGAAGTCTTGTAACCACCAGGCGGATGCTAGTTTTAAATACCAGATTTCTATACTGGAATTAGCTGGCTTCCCGTGTCCAGTCTTGGTTTCTGTGGCAGAGTCCACCCTAAAGAAAATGCAGGGGTTTAAAAGAAGGGTCCCAACGAGGCAGAGAACAAAAAGACCAGAAGCTATCACATACATCCTCAAGGTTGCCCACAATCTGAAGAAAGTGGCAAGCAAGTATGATGTTCCAGTTGTGTTCTCTGCCCCAAAAAAGTTGGCTGGGTTGTGCCCCCACATCTCTGATGAGAAGGCAAAAAGGTCATGTAATAAGAAAAACGTTACCCCTTACATGGACTGAACAGTGGGTGTGGTCTACGAAATCCCATCGAGTTCTGGTAAGGTATACATCGGCCGGACGGGACGGTGCACCAATGACCGAGCACAGGACCACACATTATCAGTAAAGAATAAATATGGCTTGCATTTGCCTATACATTGCAACATTGTGTGGCTGTGTTCCGCAACCTCAGCTGATAAGGATTCTGGGGAGAAGCCGTGAGACGGTCGCTCATGAGCTATTGGAGGCTTTCTTTATCAGAAAAAGTAGAACGGCATGTGTCAGCGACACTTCTATTGTGCTTCTTAGTAATGAATTTCAGTTTTTGAATGATTGGGTACTAAATTAATCAACTCTTATGTGGTGTTGCTTTGCCTGCCGTGTGTATATATGCTTCCTATTCCTGAGTAAAACTAGTTGAAAGTTAGCACTTGTCCTGTATACTTCTGGTCCTTGTATTTTTTGTGCCATTTTATATGTTTAACAAGGTCGAGCTTTCTTAGTGGCCCTCGCACACATCTGAAGGCAGAAAGGGGCGCAGTCTCTGCTTTGATGTAGAGCAGTGGTTCTCGAACGGGGGGGGGGGGGGGGGGGGGGGGGGGGGGAGTGTAGGGGGGGGGTCTGCGGACACTTTGGGGTCCCTGAAGGCATTCTTAGGGTCCCCAAAGCCCTAAATTGAGCAATAAATACTTTCTACAGTGGAGCTGTTAAGGGCTAGTTTCCCCAAGATTGTGTCCGTCAGCAAACAAATGATGACACCGAACTCTGGACAGCTACCGCCATCTATGAGCGATGGCGGCAACCTTTCCACTCTGGCTTGCCGGCCATTACTTTATTCCCACCATAGTACAGCTTCGCCTGTCTTCACTCTTCCCCCAAGTAGAAAGGCTGGAAGTTTTTTTGTTTTTTTTTAACTGATGCTGGTTGTTTTACATGTGCACCGGGTTGATTAGTCTATGTTTAAAACTTCGAAGTTGGCTTGCATGCATTTTGTTTTCTTTATTTACTCTTTTGCCGTCGCAATTGTCTATAATCCCTCCTTCCTCCCCGGTAGATGGGGTCCCCCAACACTTTTGATGATTTGGAAGGGGTCCCCCAAAACATCAGTGGCTGAGAACCACCGATGTACAGGTTAGCAGCAGGCACAATTTACAGTCAAATAATCAGATCAAACAAGTTTAGAGGTGTTGAAGGTGAAAATCAGGATAACATATATTGTGTGAATCCGACTACCCTTCCCAAGAGGAGAGCTTTAAATGGTGAGTACAGCAATGATATCCAAAGTCCAAGGCAGACACAACGACAAAAACGTGTGCTGGCATCTGAGAAGTAAATAGGAATGTTGCACCCCCCAGACGTGTCTCCATGTACAAGACAATGCGAGAGGGGTTGGTTGAGGGTCTCGAGAATACCGTTAAAAATTCATATGGCTACAATCGCGAGACACCTGTTCTGCTGTGCTTTGATGAAGGCTTCTACAAAGTATGCAGTGACGACATGTCACCGACAGGGGTCATGTAGGTGATCTAAAGGGCAGTGCCGAGAAAGTCCGGCATGGACACACACTGATCAAATATAGAGTGTCTGCTCACCTTGGGTTTGGGCTTGGGAAAGGTGTGCTTCTCCGGCAGTAACGTGAAGTTGATGGGCGCTCGATCGGGGCCCCTGTTGTTCGAGAAGGCTTCCCAGATGGCAGCGTGGATGCTGTTCCCTTGGGGGTCCAAACCCATGAACCCGATGTTAGCTTTGGGCCGACATCGGAGCTCGTCGGGAACCTCCCCAATCTCGAGCACCTTCATGACGTTTCTTCTGGCTTCGCTTTCTCCCGCAAAGGAAGAGTCCCCGAGCCACCGCACGACACTGAAACAGAAGCAAAAACTGACTCAGGTATGTGAATGATACTGTCATTGAACGTGAAGGTCTGAACGGCCCAATTGCGACATTGGCAAAGTTGGATTTTTGCGCCGCGACCTCAGGCACCGACCTAACCAGTGAAGCGCGAACGTTGCCGGGGTATTAAACGAGGAACGTATTATTAAATATCCCACGGTCGCGGTCCAACAGCGCTCATGGTCATGTTGGCCATCCGACGTACTACTAGTACGTACCAGAAAACGCCGGTAAGGAAACTGCCGAGTAAACACCAAATAACGTTGCCAATTTTCCGTACACACCTTAGGCACGTTGCCTCGTCACTTCAGTTCCTTCGGAACACGCGCACGAACATTTATTCATAATTAAACAAGACGAAACCACGCAAAATAATACCCAACGAAAACCCACCCCTCCACGAGTAAAAAATACCAGACAAATTACTCGCGAGTTATCCTCGTTCACAGGAGTCGGCCGCCCATTTTCGCTTCAAGGAGCGTTCCACAGATTACTCTCGACACCCAGTGTCCATTGGTCATGGCTGCTGTCATCTGTATTTTCGGGGGATGTTCTACGGAAGGCGTTTCCGACGTCTTCCAGCTGTTAATTTAACTTAAATGTGCCTAATACAAAGTTCTAGGGAGGACTAAATTCCCTCGAAAATGTACGGGGAACTCTGTTTTCCGTTCTGACCTGAATCGGACGACGGAACCTGAAGAACGATGCCGCTGTTTAGAAGGAAGCCAGGTAAAGGGGTTGCCGATTCTAATGTATTCCAAATTATGAAATGCCGATTGTGTCACTGGTTTGCGCCTTGCCGACGTAAACCACACTCTTCCGAGCGTTGTCTCCGTGTTATTACTTGTCTCACTCATCTTGATTTGATTATCGAGTGTCGAACAAGCTCATTCCGTTTTCGTCGGAATTCCATGTTCGGTACTACGATTCCGTTCGAGAATGCGTCACTTTTAAGTGGCTCTAAAACTATGTCCGCCGATTGTTTTTAACGTTGGATGGTCTTTAGTTTCCTCACTTTATAATTTCAGCTCGCCAAAGTTTTAAAATTAAAATAAAAAGTGCCGCTTCCTTCGGCCTTTGGATTACACACCTGTGTCGCGAGGGAGCGCGTGCTTTCGATTTCGCGATAGAGTAAAGCTATACGCACTCCGGAGTGCGCTTCGCGCGGAAATGGCTATACGCACTCCTCCGAGAGATCATGCCGCTCGGGCCACCCTTTTCGAACGGCGCGTGAATCACTGGGGCGCTCGTTAACACAGCCCCCCGCCTGCGTTCACGCCGCTTCGCGGCGACAGTATCGGCTGCTAATTACAAAGCGTAACCAGTACACGCCGCTTCGCGGCGTCCAGCCGGCAATCCAAGCCCCGCTGTCCCCGATCGCACCTCCGGAAAGGGAGTCCGATACCATTTAGTTCTGCGAAGTTTCTCGACAACATTCGATTTTTTTTTTCTTTTTTACTGCTCATCGCAAAAAAGGAAATGTCGTAAATATCGCCAAATGCCTCGACAAAACAAAATGTGTGAGAAGAAAAAAAAAAAAAAAGTAGGCCCACCGTGGATCGAACCCGCGTCCACTTGAGTATGAAGCGGACACTCTAACCCCTACGCCACAGCACCGCTTAGGAAACTCGTTCTGTCCACTCTTTTTATACGAGAAAAGCGGAGTGCGTATAGCCATTTCCGCCCGAAGCGCACTCCGGAGTGCGTATAGCTTTACTCTTCGCGATATTGCTGCCATAAACTGCGCTCGCATTCGCACGACGTGTCAACCCCAGGGTTTTCCCTACCTCGTAGTATGAGCGCACAAGCCGCGATCCTATCAAATTATTTTTAATCGGGTGTTTGTGTCTCCTAAGCATCGGGCATCAGTATCGGTGGAATGCCCGTCCCCGAGTTGCTCAAGAGAACCCCTCTAATGACCGCTTCACGCTTCAAAGGGATGTGTTGTCATCTGAACCTGCTTTCAGACAACGCCAAGGTCTGTGTAACCTACTGCTCTGTTTTGTTTTTGTGTTTGGGGGGATTCGCTCGCAGACAAACCAAATGAAGTAAAGTCGGATGGCGATCCAACAGCACAGCAACGAAACAGCCTTGCGGCCAGCACAGCCCAAAATGGGTTCTTACAACAGGAAGCCAGCGTTGTGCCCGTGGCTCCCCTGCCACTTCCACCTCCAGAGCTCCTTGCTGGTAAGTATATGCATGTCACTCACACCGTTGCAACTTTATTAATCCGACTAGTTCCTTACATGGGAGACGTTCTTGTTTCCAAACATGTCATAACACATTTGATTGGTATTGAAAGCTGTAAAACAGAAAAATTTGATACACCCTTGCATACGCCAGGGTAAGCATGACCTACAGTAATGTCTTCTAAAAAGCTGGCTCCATCTCACCTTCACGTTATTCCCTTGTTGTGCGCATTTACCTAATTGATGCGTGTAATTAACTCATGGCTTCTTTATTTACATTTCAGTGTTGCTATTGCACAACCAGGCATTGGAAGTAATGTATGTAAAGAGACAAGTTTACAGTCCTCATTTATTTTTATTATTTTTTATTATCCCAGCTGTTTGAAGGGATGTAGCTCACATGTATTTTTTCTGTTTCTTTGCCAGCCGAGAACCATAAAATTTGTGCGTGCCAGCGAGAGAGAGAGAGGATGTTTATGGAAATTGCCAGTATGAGAAGAAAGTGATTTCACCTTGGGTTCGCTTTCTCTTTCATTTGTTGGCTTTCGGCATGGCGCGAAAGCACTCGGTTTCAAACTTGACCTTGTAAGCACGGCTGCCAGTTGGAACTGTCCCAGCCAGAGATATAAGGGTTGGTGGCTCGGATGAGAGATAAGGAGCGAAAAAGTGGGCAAAGGAGAGTCTGGGCATGATTCAGGAGTCATTGCTGTTATCGCGTTTTGGTGCGTGGCTCCATTGTGCCCGAGTGGGTACATTAGAGGTTGTGTTGTGCAGAGAGTTTCAAATGCAAGGGCCATGGAGATTTTCCACACATTTGTCTAATGTGGTGTCTGGAACTTCCATGCGAGTTTTCAGTTATCTAACCGACAGCATGTTGTCATTACAGTACATTTTGAACCAATGGGAAAGCAACATTCTTTCCTTAAGCTGTCACTGAAGACCCATTAGTCTAACTTTTTCACTCTTCTATAAAGCTGTTTGTAGAAACCAGTTTAGAATTTTGAAGATAGGAGCACATTTCTGCTGCTGCTGCTGCTGCTGAAAAAAAAAAAAAAGCGTCAGTTACAGCTGTATACATGCAACCTTCATTCGCTACGTCTAGCTATAAATGAGATGAAACAGTCGGTGGTTGCAGCTAGCGAGCTGCCATTTCTGTTAGAAATGTGTTTGCTTTTATATTCAATTTCTCTTACAAAATTTTGAAGCATAGGTAGCTACTTTTCATCCCAACGCTTAGAAAACACAGGCAAACTATTTTTCTTTTTTTTTTTTTGTGCCTCCTGTTTAGAGGGGGACATTCACCCCTCCTTATCTTTATAGCAAACTTCTTGGACCGGGCTTCACCCAAACTACAGCTTAGAGCTCGAGCCTTTGACAGTTCATTAGCCAGAAGTTCCCAACTACCGTTATATCCTAAGACACCTGCCCCCCCCCCCCCCCCCCCCCAAAAGATAACCCATCCTTATTTTTGGCACGATTTGCTCATTTTCCAAGAACACCGAAAGATAGCGCACTTCTAGTAATTACGGGGCCCTGGCCAATGGTAACCTCGGCAGAAATGGCATCACTTAGCCACTGTGGGAGATAAGCGAACGTTGCTAACTGGGAACGACAGTCGTTTTTGGTTCCCTACATTTACGAGTTTTGAATGTCAAGTTTTGCAGGTCACAAAATCCCCAATCCTACATTACAATGATAGGCCCGTCAGGTGGCGCCACGTCATGTTCTCCAGTAGGTATAACAAAATGGCTAGGTGGCGTAAGCTACCGCCCGATCCAAAGGGCTCAGCCGGATTCATCCATCCATCCGGGGCTAATAGCACGTGCTTGTTGCCTTCCGTCGCGCTTTGGCCATGCGTGCGAGCTGAAGGCTCACGAGAAGCCAAAGTGTTGTTGAAGGTAGCCAGCTTAGACTGGATGGGAAGACCTCTCTGCCGTTGTAATCGTCTACGACTTTAGTGCCCACTCACAAGTTATCTCGCACCTAAAACTTTTGAGACGTTAGTCTTTATTTGCATTATTTTATGGTACCTTTTTTTCTAAGTGTCTGTATATCTGCATTTCCCTTGCAAAAGATGTTACTTCAGCTATGCAATGAGTGAAAAAAAAAAATAGTGAAGCATGTCGCACTATTTTTATGTTCAATGTTTTCTGATGCAACCTGCGGGTGGTAAGGCCAGTGCATTTAGGCACTCCTGAAGTCCTAGTATTCTGTGCTTATTTTTTTCAGAGTTTCATCAAAAAGTTTTGGTACTAACTCTATGCACGCATTCGTGAGGAAGAAAGTTCATTCGGTTGAATTAAAGTAGTCGCGCCACCATGCTGCCGAGACTGCCTCACAGGGGGTGCATGCGCATGATACTGCTTACCTTAGAACTGTTAAGAATGCCTTTGATAAAGTTCTAATGTTACCAAAATCGTGCGTATGGGCATTCGGGAAGATCCAAACCCGTAAAACGCGTCTTGTTCTGCGAGCTGTTTGCTCACGAAGTATGATCCAGGGGGAAACACAAGGCAGAAATTTATGTCGCACCGGTGCAAAGCATTTGCCTCCTCATGCTTATACCTCAATTGAAGATGTGAAGCGTCAAAATTAGCAGGTGCGACCTATACTCGGGAGCAATTTTCTGCGGCATATCCAAGAAGAGGAGAGCGCACACACTCAGTCCGGTAGAGGGCACGCATGCCCGTACCTTTGACCGCATTGCCACTGGAGGTCACCACCAAGTAGAGTTTTGGACAACACAGATAAATGATTTTCACCCGTTTACCATAAAATACAGAGCAAGCGCCCTCTCCGAATTCAGAGATTATCCTATCAGAATAGGGAAGGAACTTTTACTCGGTTCGGGAATAACATTTAAGATGACGGCCTCAAAAATGTTCCATTTTCATAAAATGGGAGGGGGTGTTTAAGGATTATTCACACGAGGGAGAAATCCCGGGGATTTCTCCCCGATACGCGCACATCACGAGACGAAAACTCTAGGCTTTTGCACATCGCAAAGCCTGACGTTTTCGTTGCGGGATGCGTGTGCCATGGAGAAATCCCCGGGATTTCTTCCTCGTGTGAATACCCTTTTACACGAGGGGGGCGCATGTTGGGTATTTTACAGTAGTTTTTTTTTTTAGAGGGCGTAAATTAGCGATCGAGACCAAGTGTCTCACACACGCGTCTCACACGGTCCCTCCCGCTCCTCGCCGCAGCGGAGCAGGAGTACGACCCGAACCTGTGCATGCGCACCAAGTCCCGACTCTCCAAGACGCTGGAGGAGGTGCTGTCGGACAACGGGGCGCTCGCCTACCTCATCCAGTTCGCCGAGGAGCACGGCACCAAACCCCTGGTTACGTTCTGGATGGAGGCCGAGAGCTTCCGGAGTTCCTGCCTGCTGCGCTCTCCGCCCTGCCTCCGTCGCTCCCCCTCGCCCAACCGCCGCCCCGACAAGTTCCTCCGCCAGGCGAGGGCACACAAGGGCGGGACGCCGACGCACGACGACGGGCGGTGCGGCGCCACAGAAGAGAAGTCGAGCGGGGACTGCCGCCTCGTGGACAGCCTCCCGGGGACGCGGGTCCCCGCAGTGGGGGCGGAGCTTGACGGGGGGGAGGCACTCGCGGAGGCGGGACTTGCGGAAGGTGGGGCCGGGGGCCTGTTGTCGTGCGGGGCAACCGACGGCGCATCGACTGTTTCGCCTGCGACTGAGGGGGATGCGTCGCTGAGCAAGGTGGCGCGGAGGGCGGACGGCTGTGCCGTCGCGGAGAACGGGACGGACATCAGGCTGCCGGCAATGCGGAGAAACAGTAAGTGGTGGGGTCTTTAGAGGGAGAAAGAGCAATTTAGTGTGATGCAGCGCTTAGTTCAGAAGTCATCCTTGTTTCTATAATTGCCTGTTTGGAAGTAAAGAATAATCTAAGAAATATAAAGCAAGTTTCCACCCTAATAACAAGGTGAAATTGTAAAGGCATTGCATGAATTGAATGTGCCACTGACTTCAGTCAGTTTATGCATACTTTATGTGCTCTGGCCACTTACAATGACTGAAGGTAGGTTTTTATTGAGCCTATTGACCTTGAACAATGTATCATCTATGGTTCTTGTGTTGCATAAAACAAAACTCTGTGACCAGGTTTTCAAATTCAGCTTGGTTCTTTATTTTTTTAAATAAAAAGTGGCAAATAATACTTCATTGACTGTTTTCTCTATCCTCCAATGGAAAGAATTGTTTCTTTATACAGGCACTGGTTGTAGTATGGAAGAAAATGCAATATATTCCTTCAATTTAACTATTTACTCGTACCTTTAAGGCCCTGCCATAGAGAATGATATCTCTCTGGTTTGCAAAGCTAAGCAAACCATAGTTATTAGTAGTGTATACAGTCAAACCCGCTTATCACAAACAGCAGGAAACGCTACGATCAGTTCGATATAGCAAGTAATTCGATATAGCAAGAACCATTTACAACAAACTTCCACGGTGCATTCGTTGTAAGGCGAGAGCTTCTCTTTGGTGCATTCGTTGTAAGGCGAGAGCTTCTCTTTCTTTCTCATCTCTTCGCTTCCACCTTGTAACAACGCGCTGGAAAGCTTTTTTTTTTTTTTTTTTTTTTTTATTCATCTGTGCAGAGTTAATTCTTTTAGCTCAACCATTTTGGGATGAAAAGATTTCTTTTTTTCTGCACGTGCTTGCAGAGTGTATTTTTTAGCTTCCCTTCTGAATCGCTTCTCTTCGCTCCATTTTGTTCGCAACTTGAGCTTTAGGAATTAAATTTTTTTTTTCCTCCTCTTTTTTTTTTGGGGGGGGGGGGGGGGGGGGGGGGGCAAGCTAGACAACGATTTTTTGCACGTTTTTGGAAGCCTTCCCAGGGTAAACAAAGTTTGATATAGCCAATATGTTGTTCGTTATAAAAAGTACTTTTTACATGCATTTGTATTCTAATTTTCCGTTAGTTCAATATCGGCAATAATTCGCTGTACAGGGGTTCGTTTTTAACGGGTTCCACTGTACTTCTACTCCTTAGTCTAAACGGGGGTTTTTCACATTATGTCAATCCGCCTTTTGTTGTTTGCTGCAACTTTGTGTCATCCCAGGTTGACAATTTGTATGATGTAAAGAGAAACCTGAAACAGCTAGCTCGTTGCATATGCTTAGATGCGTTGTAACAACAAAACAGTGGATTAGATTTTTTGCTGCGAAAACTTCTATACTAGGGGTTCTCAAACTGGGTTCCACCGAACACAGGGGTTCCGCGAACATCCAAATTGCATCCCACCCCATGCCCGCCGTGGGCTGCGCGGCAGGAGCGTGTGAAGCGCCTTCATCTCACTTTGTACTGACATTGCGATTGATATGGTGCGGATATATGAGCAGCAACACAAGCAAAGTTGCCTACGATCGTGCTTGTGTTGCTTCTCGGTCGCAAATATAGAGGGTGGGGGGGGATTTGTGTCAATTTTTTAGGCTTCCTGGGGTTTCATAGGGCCAAAAAGTTTGAGAACCCTTGTCCTATACCTTTGACCTTACCTTCTGCATTTTGTCTCTTGCAGGTCTCAGTCAAGATGCGCTTCACATATTCAATAAGTACATTGCTCAAAATGCACCTCTCCCCATTGGAGTATCTGAGGAACTTCGGAGTCGAATCTCAGGTAAGGGCGTTATGGATGAAACTTTGTTACTTTTTGCCTCAGCACAATTGGGCTTGGACATTTTGGAAGACAGATTTTTATCTTTTAGACATGCTGCAAGGCGAGATGTAGAACCTCTTAGAAGTAGCTTAGCTCATTTAGATATATGTTTCACACCACTTGGTATTTGTATTGTGAGCTTACAGCTGCTTTTCTTACATGTGGTACTAAGGCTAATGCCTTCCTCTGAGTGAAGGGTTTTAAAAAAAAGCTGGAAAAGACTAATAGACCAAAGATGAGTGTGTAAGTATTGCTGTCTAAGCTCGTTATAACAGACCTTGATTTTGACCAAGAGTTCGGTGTGTTGTAAAAGCAGTATGTCGTGTGCAGGTATGAAGTTGAGTCAGTGGTATGTAGAGGAAAACCAGCTGAACTTCACAACTCAGTTTGTTATATCCAAATGTCTGTTGTAATGATTTTAGACTGTATTGTAAAAATAAAGAATTAAACAAAACAACACATCCTGTTTAACCCTCTGATGATCGAGTTACCAAAATATTTTCCCCAGTAGTTGGGTTTTGTTTCCAAAGGAATAGTGCAAAGAAACGGTTAATGCATAGGTTTTTTTTCTTAATTATCTAGCGGGAGCACGTACAGTTCTTGCAATCCGTTTGGGTATAGAGGCATAAAATAGAAATATTGAAGGCGAAAAGTTGTCATCTTTTTTCCATTTGGTTTTATTTTGGTGCATCTGCTTCCGTGACATTCCAGCAGACTTAAATTCTGAACGGGAGGTACTTTGAGGTACTTTACAGAGCTTTTCCATCAGATGGCGAGCTCTCGTTCTCTGAATTAAATTCTGAGAAGCGTAAAAAGTTTGAATTGGATGAGACAGCAGTGCAATTGGCGCCACAGCCAGAACGGCTTACTTGCGAAGTGATTATCTTGTGCATGCCATATACACCAAGCGTTTAAATTCAAAACTATAAATTACCCCAACAGTCTGAAAGACCTTGCGAATATGATGTTCATAGTTAGCAAAAGACATATTCGCATTTAGGTGGGCACTTTCAAATGCGTAATTGCCACTGTACGGCGACGCCCGTCAAAGGGCTAATGTCTGATTGCCTAACCCTTTCTTACTTTTATACAAAAATTAAGAGCATCATCAAAAAGCAGGAAGCTATAAAAAGAAAAAAGTTGTATTTATTGAGTGAATTAGTCACGTTTGGGGAGGTTTTGAAAACACAGTTATTTAATCTTTTTTTCTTTGTGGGAAATCATCAAATTTAGTTTTTGTACCCCAATATGAGGCAAAAATATAAAATCTAATAATGTTCATTTAAAAAAAAAAATGTATTTTTATGCCAAAATGTTTTTGTTTTTTTTTCCAGATTCTATCTCCCACGACCACGTAGAGCCTGACTGCTTCCTGCCAGCACAGGAGTTTGTAGTCAGCCAGATGCAAAAGGAGTACGTGTTTTTCTCGTTTTCCCTGGCAGGTGTTGTTTTATACTCACAATGTGTACAACATGGAGGAAAGGACCACCTTTGTGAAAATGACACTTGCAAGGGACTGTGTTTTGCCTCACTTTTCATTTACGAGTCTTCTAGCTGCATCTAGGCTGTGACAGGCTCTTTTCAGAAAAAGGGAGTAAAGGAAAGTATAAACACACAACGAAAAGAAGCCTGAATGCCCTGTTGCATTGACCAAAGTGCCATATGTTTTCCACTGAGATGCACCGTTTTATGATGCACCTAATGCAGGAGATTCTCGAAACATCCCTCTAAAAGATCACTCACAAGAGTCCTACATCATGCCACATCCCAAATAATGGCTTGACATGAGTCAGCTTCAGTAGTGTAAATACTATACATGTGTGATCATAGTGAAGATACACATCTGACATATCCGTTGACTACCGTATTTACTCGCATAATTTGCACACTTTTTTTTTTTAAGTATCCATCGTCAGAAAGGGGGTGCGCAAATTACGCGGATATTTCGCGAGCACCTCTCAAATAACACATCTGCAAAGGCTGTAATGTATATAAAAATACAAATATACAAACGGCAAGTTTATTTTTTTTTATTTTACGAAATGCACCTGCTTTGTTCACTTTGAGTCGCTGGTGGAGCTCTCGCACTCGGTACCATGGCTGCGATCGTCGTGGTTGTCGTCATCACTCGCGTTCCAAATAGCATCGTCTTCAGTTCCGTCGAGCGCGTTTGATAGTCCCGTCTTCTTGAAGCTCTACTCGACAATGCTGGGAGAGACCATGTCCCACACTGTTAGAACCTACTCGCAGACAGTTTCCAAGGGGGGCCTCTAGTCTCTATCCTTCCACTGGGAGTGAGCCTGTGTTCTCCGCTGGCCATCCATTCTACATAGTGTTTGCGCACATAGTCTTTGAACAGTTTGTTGATTGACATATCCAAGGGCTGTAGAACTGATGTTAGACCTCCCGGGAGGACAACAAGATTCGTTTTTGTGTCTCGCAACTTTTGCTTCACGCTGTCGACAAGGTGACCCCTGAAGCTGTCCAGTACCAGCAGCGATGGCAGTTGCAACAGAGCGCCTGGTCGTTTTCCCCAAACAGTTTCAATCCAGTCTTACATTAAAGCTTCATTCATCCATCATTTTCATGGACACGGATGTGTATCCGACCTTGCAGTTTCACTTTTGGCATAAGTCTTGCGCTTAAAAATGACGAAAGGCGGGAGCTTTCGCCCATCAGCAGTTACCGCCAGCATGACAGTGCAGCGTTGCTTCTCACAGCCGGTTGTTCTTACAGGAACAGCTGAGACACCTCTTTCGCTTACTGTAGTGTTAGGTGGCATATCGAAGGTCAGCGGCGTTTGATCCGCATTCCCGATCTGGGACATAATCAAGTTCTCCGTTTTCCGCTACGCGATCACGAATCGATGAAATGCCAACACCTTCTCTTCATAGTCTTCGGGCAAACGCTGGCAGAGAGTCGTCCGTCGTCTCAAAGACAAGTGGTGGCATCTCATGAAGCGTGTCACCCATCCTCTGCTAGCCTTGAACGTTGCAGCCGAGATACTTTTTTCTTGTGCAATCTTTCTTGCTTGAAACTGTAGCATCTCGCATGACACGGCGTGACCAGCCGACCTGTGATCACGAAAATACTGTAGCAGTTCATCTTCAGCAGCAGGAAAGTTCCCTCCGTTTCGGCCCCCAAAACTCTTTTCTTCCCGGTCTTGCACTTGCCAGTTGCGACTTCTGTCTTCGCCAATAACGTAAGTGGCTCTCGCTCACCTTAAACTGCCTGGTAGCAGCGCGGTTTCCATTTTCCTCAGCAAACTTGATCACGAGGAGCTTCAACTTCGCTGTATAGTTATTGTAACCCATCGGAAGAGCAATCGTCGAGAAAACCGTTGACGGCGTCATACTTGAGCCACACAATCCGAACAACGGGAAGCATGCGCTTTGGCTTCGCAGATGTCGCAGACTTCGCGCCACCGCCACTCCACATGACCGCAAGCGCACACCACACGACACACAGACACGCACGACAGTTCCCACATCCGGGAATCTCAGCGTGAGTTCATGCTCCCTTGCAGGCCTACCACCTCGCAGCATTGAGCCAGTGGCGCACAAGCGCGCGTCCCGTAGCTTTCGCAGAGAAGCGCAGAGTTGCATTTTTCTCTCACTCTCGCCTCTCACTCCTCCCGTGGTCGCGCGAAACTTCCGCAGCTTATAGCTCGCGCGCCTTGGGGCGTCTGGAGAAACGGTTGGCGAGCTGGCGCAGAACGGTGCAGGGTGCGCAAAATACACGAGCAAGTAGTTTATTAGGGGCGTTTTTAGGGTCTAGCCTTGTCCGTCCGGTGTCCGTGCTCACATCAGTCTTGCTGGTGCTTGCGCTCGTGATCGTGCTCGTGAGCTCACATGCTCACATGCTCACGTGCTCGTGTAGAGCAAAAAGAGAATGATGAAAAAAGGAAAAATGTTGGCGCAGTCGACAGGATTCAAACCTGTGCGGGGAGACCCCAATGAATTTCTAGTCCACCGCCTTAAATAACCACGTTCCATACCACACATTCTTTTTCTGACATGGATGAAAACGAACGAAAGGCTCGGCATGCTGCGGCTCAGCGTCTGCGCAGACAAGCACCACCAGAGCTTCGCCGCAATCATCACTCACCTCGTGGAGATGCGGTCATTTTTTTTGTGGAAATCTGGGCCTTAAGTTAGGAGTGCACAAATTACGTGTGGATGCAAATTATGCAAGTAAATGCGGTAGACTGTTGGGCCTCACTAAATGATGATGTCTGGAGTGTTGGGCCTTACCAAATGATGATAATAGAGTATTTGTGTCTGATCCTTCAAATATATCATCACAATCAATAAGAAGGTGAACACGAGATGATACTGGATGCTGTGCAACAATCATTTTGAAAAGTATTGAGTGCTGAACTATTGTGCAAAGGTAAATGGATGATTTAGTTTGGCTCTCAGATATGGTATTTTTGGCATCTGCTGGGCGTTGTTAAAGGCACACCAACATAGGGATCAGCATGTTTAGCACACCATGGCCAAAAGTGAGCACATTGTAAATTTCTAATGCTTCCAAGTTGCTAAAATGCCTTCCTCTTGCAGTGTCTTTCCCATATTCTTGAGGAGCTCCTACAACTGCAAGCATCAAGTGGATGTCCTGACCAGTGGGAATGTTTCTCTCGCTGACATCCTCTACAATGACTCTGCACTCTTCTACTTCATGGAGGTAATGCTGAGATTCCAGCTAACTGATCATTTCGACTGCTAAGAGCACGTGGTGGCCGTGTGCAAGTATCATAACACAATTCCTAGTTAGGCCACCTTCTTTTTTTTTTTTATTACAAGCTGTCTACATGCCAAAAGCTGTAAAATTTGGAAAGCGCCTCTATAGTGAAACCCATTTAGAACAAACCCACGTACAGCGAATTATTGTCAATATCGAACTCACAAAAAATTTAAATAAAAATGCATGGAAAAAATACTTTTTTATAACGAACAACATATTGGTTATATCGAACTTTTTCCCCCAGCGAAGGCTTCCAAAAACGCGCAAACAATCGTCTTCTAGTGTCTACTTTCCCCCAAAAAAAGAAGTAGGAAAGAAAGAAAATTCCAAAAGCTCTAGTTGCAACAACAAGTGAGCGAAGAGAAGCGATTCAGAAGGGGAGAAAGCTGGGAAAAAATACACACTGCACTCATGCGCAGAAGAAAAAAACTTCTCATCCCAATACGTTTGCCCACGAAGAGAAGCGATTTAAAAAAGGAGATCAGCTAAAAGAAAGAAAAAAAAAAACACTGCATGTATGCAAAAAAAAAAGTTTTCCAGCGCGTTGTTACAAGGCGGAAGTGAAGAGATGAGAAAGAAAGAAAAGGCTCTTTTCTTACAACGAACGCATCGTGGAAGTTTGTTGTAAACTATTATTGCTATATCGAACTACTTGCTATATCGAACTGATCGTAGCGTTTCTTGCTGTTCGTTATAAACGGTTTTGACTGTACTACTGTCGCCGACCGTTTTTTCGGACTCCGATAATTCGGACTTGTTCTATGTTTCGGACCTAAAGGCGGAACCGTGACTTACCCCATAGAAGTACAGTTGAACCTCGATTTAACGAAGTCACCGGGATTCGCTAATTATTTCGTTAAATCGGGAACTTTGTAAAATCGAGGAAGGGAGACATCGCGCATAGGCTGTGCGGGGAATCCGAATTTGTTCGTTACATCAGGAAATTCGTAAAATTGGGTTTCGTTAAATCAAGGTTCAACTGTAGTGCATATTCACGACCAATGTTTCGGACAGCTTGAAGTCCGAAAGTTTGATTCTTCGGACAAAATCGTCACAATGCTAGCCCTTTTTTTCCATTTAGCTGCACATCATCATCATCAGTATGTCGTTAAGGAGCGGAGGAAGTACTTGACTGTAGGGCTAGAAAGGAAGGCAGCGGTTCTCAAGCTTACAGAAAGTTGCCGAACGCAAACGGAGGCGTAACCTAAAACAAGGCATGCAGGCGTAACCTGAAGCAAGACACTATTTACAGCTTTTTTAAGCCCACTTCGAAGTAATAAAAGCAAGTTTTTCAATCTGCTGATTTTTGGGGCTGCTCTATTATTCGGGCGTTTTTTCGGTCCCTGCAAAGTCCGAATAATCGGTCGGCGACTGTAGTCCTGTTGCAAGTCTAGTTGATGGCTGTTGTAAAAAGGGGGAGTTACTGTTTTTATCCGGGAATAAATAAATCCAACGTTCTTGGTTCTCGTCTTGTTCCAGTACATGGAACAGGAGCAGTCCAGGCACCTGGTAGACTTCTTGTTAATGGCGGACAACTTCCGGAACCACCTGTTGGCTGAGGGTCACTACGATGGGCAGCAGGCACAGGAGGATGCCATGGTCATCTACGACAAGTGAGCATTCATCTCCTCGGGGTCATGCAAAGTATTTCCGAGCACACGACGTGGGTAAACTTGAAGCGATATAGCGTTAGAATGGACCCTTTTCAGAACCCTATCGCGCAACACGGGCAGCCCCCATTTATCGGACACGAAGCAGGCAATTGGATCAGACTCCTCGCCGAGCACTGCTACAGCACTCCTGTCCAACTCATGCTCGGGTGCATGTGTGCAAACAGGGGCAGACTTGAATGATTGGCACCGCAGCCGCTAGATGGCGCACTCTTTTGAGAAGGGTATATTAGGGTTACTGTAATCCTCGGAGTAGAAAACGGGACATGGGGCATGGGGGTGGGAGATGGGGAAAAGGGGAAGCAAGACAGAAGGAAGAGCTCTGCTACTGTTCAGTTGAACTTAAAAGCTATTTTTGTAGCGTAAGCTACACTGGTTGAGGTTGAGCAGTTTCGCGTGGCTCCTGGAGAGCCGTGCTGCGCATACGCGAGGAGCAGTGATGGAACAAGCAGGACTGGTATGGCGCCTAGGTCAGTCCCCGATGCACGCGCCGCGCGCATGCACCCACTTGAGATCATGGCTCGCGCTGTCGGTTGTTCTGGGCGGCAGCTTGGTTGCGTGATACATAACAACACGGCGCACAGCTGGCCAAACCAACGACGGGCATCTGGCACGCCCCAGCGGTGGACTGAGGATTAATTTGGACCACCTGGGGATCTTTTGACGTGCAACCGAAAGCTCGGTTACACGGCACCTCCTTCGCAATAAGAAGAGCGGAGGAGCTTAATTCATCGGATCCCGAAGTAGTCACATAATGCGTATACTGTGTGTGTGTCATTGAAGCAGCAGTAAGCATGATAATCAAGCTAATCCTAGACAACCAGGAAAGCTAAGAATAACCAGCTGAACCGAAGCTTAGGCTACGTATATCCTGGCATAGCCTAGCTAATCCACTACAATTTTTTTTATTTTCTGTGCACTAAATTATTAGTGCTTTTCTTCCTCATTTTTATGCAATTGGGAGGAAACACTGCCAGGTAAAGCATGCCAAAATTAATAATATAGAAAAGATCCCCTCTGGTTGCAATGAAGTTGTGTTGGCAGATGCAATTGCAGGAAGACCTAAAATATGTATTCTGCAAGAGTTTTTATAGTGTGTTTTTATAAACTACATCTGTAGCAGCAACTGTAGAGACCGGGACCAGACAGAGTCAGCTGGGCCGGATGGGCAAAGACCCACGGCAGTCTTTATTCACGGAATATATACAAACGTAACAGTGAGGCGGCGCCCTCTATGATAGTATGTTAGAATAGTGTTAGTCGTGTTAAGAGCGACACCTGACGGTAACAAAGAACACTACATCCCCCCTTCCAGAAGGATGCCCTTCTCTTAACTAGACCGACAACAATCACAAGTCCAGTCTCACAGGCGGAATAACCCGTCGCCCTGATCTTGTGTAGCGATGCTCGTGCTGCCTGAAGTCCCCTGATGTCGAACTTCCGTTCACCCATGGGTTTGCACTAGTCGCTGCCGATCGTCGCTGTTGCGGCTCAGCCGGCGTCTCTGAAGGCGGGGCTGGAAGACCAGCAAAAGCCTCCTCGGGAATCGGAGGATCAGCAACCGGCTCCCCAGGAACTGCAGAACCAGCCACAGGCTCCCCAGGAACTGGAGCCCCAGGAGCGTGAGCACCGTAAGGCACCAGGTGTCGCCGGTTTCGCTGTAGCATGCCCCGTTGAGTTTCCACGACATAGGAACGTGGACGCTGCGCACTGTTGAGCACCCGAGCAGAGCACTGAGCATCGGTTACCCAGACCTCCTCTCCAGGTGAGAGGTCTCGAAGCACCTGCACACCATGGCGACGGTTGAAGTCCACTGCCTGCTGCCGCCTCGCCGCACTGTCCCTCTCTTGGAAGGCACCCAGGGCCGGCACCTCAGGACGCAGCTTCTCCTTGGCCCTCGGCATCCGAGAACGCATACGCCGCCCCATCAGCAGTTGCGCCGGGCTGAAACCTGAAACGCCTGGGGTGTTCCGGTATGACAACAGTGCCAAAAAGACATCGTCACTCTTGCGGAAAAGGTCCTTAATGGTTCTCACAGCGCGCTCCACCTCCCCATTCGATTGGGGGTAGCCGGGGCTACTAGTGATATGCTGAAAACCATAGTCTCTTGCGAAACTTGCGAAGTCATGTGAAGAAAACTGTGGCCCGTTGTCGCTTCTTAGTACTTCCGGTGTACCGAAGCGAGCCATGGAACTCTTGACCGCTGCAATCACAGCCTAGCTTGATGTACTTCTTAATGTTACCACTTCTGGGTAACGAGAGTGGTAGTCCACAAGTAAAAGAAAATCCTGCCCGTCCAGATGAAACAAATCCGCTCCCACCTGTTTCCATGGCAGGTCCACCGGAGGCGTTGGCAGCAGGGGTTCCGCTCGTTGCGTCCTGGTAGATGCACAGCGGTCGCACGTTTGCACCATGGCCTCGATCTGCTGTCCAACATGTGGCCACCAAACCGAGTCTCGGGCCCGCGCCTTACACCTGTTCACCCCCTGGTGTCCTTCATGGATCAACTGTAAAACTTCGGGTTGCAGAGCTGCTGGGATCACTAGACGGCCACCCTTGAGAAGCAGACCCTCGCAGACGCTCAGCTCCCCACGGAAATTCCAGTACTTGATGACATGGCTGGGAAGCTTGTTCCTTTGAGGCCAGCCGTGGTTGCAGAACTTCTCCAGCGTTACGCACTCGCCGTCTGATGCTTGATGCCGACGGACATCTTCGGGGCTGACTGGAGAACCTTCCTGGATGGAATGGATGACGTTCTGCACGTAAAGCTCCACGGAGCTCGCTTCTACGGCTGATGTCAATGGGGCCCTGGACAGAGTGTCGGCCGTAGCCAACAGCTTTCCGGGAACATAAAAGATCCTGTACTGGTACCTCATGAGCTTGATCCTCAGGCGCTGGATCCTTGGAGGCAAAACGTTCACGTCCATTTCTCCCAGTAGGGCTGTCAAAGGCTGGTGGTCTGTCTCCACGGTGAATCGCAGACCTCTGACGTACTCGTCGAAGCGTTGTACGGCCCAAACAACCGCCAGGGCCTCTTTTTCGGTTTGACTATACCTCTGCTCGGTTGGCGTGAGTGCCCGGGATGCGAAAGCCACGGCTCGGCGTTCACCCGTTGGCTGGTCCTGCAGCAAAACTGCCCCAAGTCCAAACGAGCTGGAATCCGCAGATATGATGGTTGGGTGTTCTGGGTGGTAGTTGGCCATGCAGACGTCTGAAGAAATCATGTCTTTCAGTCTCTGGAATGCCGCTTGCTGGCTTGGACCCCAGAGCCAAACACTCCGCTTGTTCAGTAGCTCGCGGATTGGTGCTGTAACGTCGGAGAGATGTGGCAGAAACCTCCCCACATGGTTGACCATGCCCAAGATCCGGCGCACGCCCCCGACGTCGACCGGCGGTTCCATACGCTGCACGGCTGCCACCTTCTGCGGATCTGGTGCAATTCCGTTTCCGCTCACGATCACGCCAAGGAAACCGACGCTTGTGACGCCAAACTTGCATTTGGCCTTGTTCAAAGTCAGCCCTGCCCTCGCCAGACGATCCAAGACTTCCGCCAGTCGGCGATCGTGTTCCGCGCTATCCCGGCCGAAGATGAGGACATCGTCTATCATGTTGACGACGCCATCTTGACCCTCGAGGATGTAACTCATTTGGCGCTGGAAAAACTCTGGCGCCGACGTAATCCCGAAGGGCAACCGGCGGAAACAGTAACGCCCGAACGGGGTTATAAACGTCGTGAGTTCCTGGCAGTCTTCGGCAAACTTCACTTGATGGAAACTGGATGTAGCGTCCAGCTTCGAAAAAACTCGAGCTTCACCAAGAAGTCCCAAGACCTGGTCTACCGTCGGAAGGATATGGCGCTCTCGAAGCACCACCTTGTTCAGCCTCGTGAGGTCGACGCAGATGCGGTAGGCGCCGGACGGCTTGGGCACGACGACCATTCCCGCGCACCACGGCGTAGGATTCGACACCCGCCGGATGACGCCCTGGGCTTCCATTTTGTCCAACTCCGTTTTCACAACGTCGCGCAAGGGGATAGGAACTCTTCTTGGAACGTGAAGCGAGAAAGGAATCGCATCGGGCTGAAGGCGGATGATGTACTCTTCTTTGAGCTCACCCAACCCTTGGAACAACCCCGTCGGCGAAGTATCGTTCCTTCCCTGCTGGACGGCTGCCACCGGCTCGACGAGCTTGACCACGCCGAGCGCCTGGATACCCGGAAATCCCAGGAGCGGAACAACCTGGGACCGGACCACATAGAGCTTCTGCCTGGTCGTCTTGTTCTTCCATTCAAGCGTGGCGACGAACGCCCCGAGAACATCCAAAGGCTGGTCCGCTGGACCGGTCAGCTGTCCGTCCGGCGGCTCGAGCCGCGCCGGAATCCCAGAAAATGTGCTGGGGATGACCGTGACTTCGGCCCCGCTGTCGACCTTGAAACTTGGTGGCATCCCGTCGACTTTCACCTCGACGAACTTCGCCCGAGTGCTGCCGTCCGAACTGACGGCACCCAGCTCAACCGACGCGAGCCTCTTGCTGTGCCTCTCGAGCTTTGTTCCGGAGCGACATACCGCTGCGAAGTGGCCCTTCTTGTGGCATTTGCTGCAGAGTGCTCGGCTTGCAGGACACTCGGAACGCGGATGAAAGTCACGTCCGCAGAACCCGCACGGCGAAGAACCCGCATTCCCTACGGAAACGTTGCGCGCTGTTTTTGGTGGGCGGTTCCCCGTGACTCTCGCCGCGTCGATGCTTATCGCCTTCGCTTCGGCAGATGCCGCCGAGGCTCCGGTAGAATCGCGAATCCTCCGCTCCCTCTCGGCATCTTCAGCCTGACGTACTTGAATCAGGGCTTCTTCGAGTGTCAGTCTCGGATTGCGACAAAGCCTGTCTGACAACTTGACATCTCGAAGACCGACCACGAAGCGGTCCCGTATCAAATGCTCCTCCAC